TTCTTGGATTGAGTACGTTTCTTGGATTGAGTACGTTTCTTGGAATGACTACGTTTCCTGGATTGAGTTCCCCACCCAGCAGCCCCATCCCATTTCCAGATCGCCTCCATCAACTCTGCAAAAGTAAAAAGTACGTTCCAAAAAGAACGATGTCGTTTTTGCACACCTTCTACGGTTTTAGCTTCATAAATCTCACATTCGCATTCGTTATGGCCAACATACTTTCTACTTTTTTACAACTTCATTCTGTGCTCCCCGAAAGTTAAAACACCGTTTCCTGGATTGAGTACGTTTCCTGGATTGAGAACGTTTCCTGGATTGAGAACGTTTCCTGGATTGAGTACGTTTCCTGGATTGAGAACGTTTCCTGGATTGAGTACGTTTCCTGGATTGAGAACGTTTCCTGGATTGAGAACGTTTCTTGGATTGAGTACGTTTCCTGGATTGAGTACGTTTCTTGGATTGAGAACGTTTCCTGGATTGAGAACGTTTCTTGGATTGAGACGTTTCCTGGATTGAGAACGTTTCTTGGATTGAGTACGTTTCTTGGATTGAGTACGTTTCTTGGATTGAGTACGTTTCTTGGATTGAGTACGATTCTTGGATTGAGTACGATTCTTGGATTGAGTACGATTCTTGGATTGAGTACGTTTCTTGGATTGAGTGCGTTTCCTCGATTGGCAGTGCGACCATGATCTCAAGCATGCAAAAACCACCTTAGGACATCACTGGGTCTGCCACTGAACTGACACAACCGATCTCCAGGAGAAATGGGCATCAATCAAATTTTTGCATCTCCCCCAGCTTAAAAGAACGATAAAGGTATTGAGACCGAATGTTGGAAAAGAATGCGCATTCATGGGTTAGAATATTATGTGCATTAGGTATATTATGTATATTAGGTATATTATGTATATTATGTATTTGTAGGTATGTATATATATATATAATTATATACAATGAGTGGTAAACCATGTGTGAGGTACGCTATAGGCAGTACATAAGCATGTTTTGGATAGTATGTGCGAGATTTTGCTAGATTTAGATTGATGTGTTGGAAATATACAGCTCGACAGGGTCCAGCGACGAGGTTGTGGCTCTCAAATGGGAGGCTGTGCTTCCAAAATGCTGTAAATAGCGTGCCTTGGGTGTGGTGTGGGGATCCTGGGACCTGGCTCATATGTGTATATATATATGTGTGTGCACATATATTATATATATATACCCTCTGGTTATTTAACATAGCCATGGAAAATCCCCTTTAAATGGAGGTATTAATAGGAAAATCATCTATGAATGGGCAATTTTCCATGGCTATGTTAAATAACCAGAGGGTATATAATACATACATATATGTAGGAATGAAACAAAAGATGATAAAGGCCACTCCTATCCTCACTTTAAAGGAATGAAGAATGCATATGTATCTTATTATGCACACATGAGTCATCACACGAGTGTATAACACAGAAATATATATAGTATGACATATGTAGAGAGAGATAGAATATATAGATATACATATGATGACGATATGAATATAGGCTAGGACAATATAGGCTTCAGTAGGACTGACTGGGATACAAATCGTTTGGCAAAGAGAATCACAGCATCTCTGAGACTCATACGGAAAGGAGCATGCTGCCCTCCTGAAGTGCTGGTTTGGCCTGGCTGCAGGAGGCCACTTGTCCTTTGTCCAAGATCAGCACGGCCCGACTCACGGCTTGGCCTTGCTCATGAAGCCGTCGTCATGAACCCTTCCCACGAAGACACCCTCCTGAACAACATGAGCAGCAAGGACCAGTTCTGCCTGGTGCCTTGATCGGCCTAAATTGACCTGCACATAATATGAGGCTCTGCCCTTGAAAGAGGATGCCATGATGCCAAGCACAGCTCCTTGCATCCTTCTGAGTAGTTGTAGAGAGCCTGCGCACGGACTGCTGTCAACCGACCCCAAGATTCGGAGCAACAAATCACAGATGGGACCCGTAAAGGAAAATAATTGATGGTTCTCCCTAACAGCAGTTACTTGAGGATATATTTGTAGGCAATCTGTACCGCCCTAATGAACCATAGTATTCGAGTCTGGCTGCTTGGAGTTCATGGTACACTTGGAAAACGAACGGAAAAGTAACCGCAGGACATGTCGCGACTCCTTTCAACTCCTTGGAAAAAAAGCAGCGCCTCATTTTCTGGTTTCTAAGCGGAAGTTGAAACAAGTCTTCCTTTTTGTGGTAAAATAAGGATACATATTATATACTAATATATATACTATCAGCTATGTAACGGTATGTATAAATATAGTACAAACAGCACATGTCCGTGGCATTTCCCACGGTTCACCAGATAACTCGCAAGTGCCCAAGTCGCAAACTTCGCGCCTCGTTAGGATGGATGATGACGAGGCCATGCCCTGGGGTCTTAAAACCGCCACGAATCCATGGGGGGCTTTGCTGCTCCTGCATCTACAACTGCGCCATGGGACCCATGGGATAACATAATTAGGACCTATCCATTCCAATATTCAAATCAGTACTTGCTGCACGTTTGTTCCTGTGTCTTACCAAGCCCTACAGTGTCCAACTTCGAAGGAAAATTTATGAAAATTGCCTTGAGTGGCTAATTACATGACATATTTGCTTAACTTCAGATCTTGGTCCGCGCGTCCCCGCACTGTTGAGCTGTCCTTCAAGTGCAGATTGATAAGGGCCTCACACAGGTGATCACCATAGGCAATGGAACAGAACGGCTTCACACATAGACGCCCGAGCTCCCTCGAGTTCTCATTCATTCTTATTAGTTCTCAACCAGGGTCACCATCCTAGCCATGGTGACAGCCAGGGGTTTCCCATCAAGGACCATTAGCGCCTGGACCCTGAAAGCGGGGATCACGTAGTTGATATTCTCGCCTCCAGCTGGCTGGTGGAGTCCGGGTCGAGACATCTCAACTTTTGGACATCGCCACTTTTGAAAAAAAGTGGCCAGTTGTAGCCACAACTAGCCACAACTGGCCACTTGAATCTGCATCCCCAGAAATACGAACACTTCTAGTGTCAGTTGGTATTTCATCATGATTATATGATATTATATCATATCATTCATATGAATATCCCGTATATTGTTTGGTCTATTCATATCCAATAAGTATCCATTAAATTCCATTAATGGTAAGGCTCTAAATCCCAGCCCATAATGTGGCTCTGAATTTCATCACTTTCATCTCCTGCCTCGAGTTGCTCCAGCAAAATTCACACCGAGGACCTGGCGATGTAAAACGCCAGGTTTTCCCAGAAGGAATTCCGATCTTAGTTCCAGTATGTTCCAATACTTCTATGGCTTTTAAGATCTCGGAGATTGAGAAAGAACAAAGGGTGTTTTTCAATGTGTTTCATGGTGTTTCTGTATCCAACAATCTTATAATTATGCCTTTTTTGGATCTGTGATCTTGAGAAAGAACCGGCTGTTTCATGAAATCTTAAGACATGTCAGCTGTGGGGAGGAGAATTCTGCCACTTCACCCGGCTCAGGCCTCCTTTCCCGCGGTGTCCAACAAGGGGCCACCACCTCCGGCTCGGTGAAATGATAGGTCAATTCTATTAAATCATGATCTGATAATATGGGATAATAATAGTTTAATAGTGGGAGTGGGTAAACTTGACAAACTTGGGAAATCCCCCATTCATAGATGATGTGGCAACTTTTGACATGTGAAATTGATCCGGCTTCACTGAGTGACACTCACTGCGCTTGAGAGACAGACTGTTGCCCGGAGAGATGGGTGCAGTGGACCTGTGTTTTCTTCGCATCCGGTGGGGAACTATGATGGTCAACATTCATGACTCATGACCATTTCATGACTGGAATATATTGGGCATCCAATTGCTGAGAGGAATTTCACTGATTTTGCTGCATACCTACCCACAATGAGAATGTTTCCATATAGTGACACACTCTCGACATCAAGCTGGCTCCCGAAAACCATTCGCGATTCTGTGGAAAACATCAGCAATTTCGGCAACACATCCCGATCTGCCACTAGAGTATGCAGAAGACACCAAGGTAAGGTTCGCACTGAATACAGAGATTGTTGCTCACGATCTCGTTGCCAGCTACATTGCCTGCAGGCTCACATCCTTGCGTTGGGATTCACTTGGATTTCAGGATCACAATTCCCAAGGGTCCCAAGGTTGAAGCCAACTCAAGGCACATGCTGACTTGAATACGTTCTGTTTCCACATCATACGAAGTCATACGAGTACAAATATGATGAGAAATGCCACCATTGATCCAGTAGCCTATCAAACACTGCCACCACAATGGACATCTGGGCAAATTATCATAAATTAATATAAATTATCACTCTATAATTTCTGGATCAGAAATAACCCAATTTGGGGGTGACCTTTCTGTAATTTTTCATGGGCGCCTTTCGAAATCTTCAATGAGTTCTGACCCAGTGGAAAGCCCAGGGCAACCACATCTTCTCCCATCTCTGCTACATGCTGCGACCTGGGAGGAAAATGGGGATGCTGGGAGTCAAATGGGGAGATCAGGGTAGCAATGGTTTGCTCAAGTGGCCAACGGTGTAGTTCCCTTTTTGTTTTTGGTCGGCACTCCCAAATGACTTTGTCCGAAAATAAATTACCCCAAGAAATAGTTGTTGAAAACTGTGTGTTCCCCATTTAAATTGGCCATAGATTGAGGATTCATATCCCATTACATCCCATTCATTTCCAGTATATCCCAAATATGCCCATTCTACATCATTATACCCCCCCCATTTTTACTGCTTACATTCTCCATAGTTCAACAAAACATATACTGGTATATATATATACATTGATTATTTATCATATATTCTCATATATGATCATGTGATATATATATAGAATAGTTTTCTCATATACATATATATATATATATATATATGATCTGATATATATATAATATATATAATAGATAGATAGAACATATATAGCCCACCTCCAAACAAATCAAAATTAGGTGCCAGGTCGCAGGATGAGAGGCTGGACTTCCAGATGTGCCTTACGCAGAGTCGCCTTGAAGCCCTGCAGGAGCGCAGGGATCGAAGCAAGGAATGTTTGGTGGGATCTGACCAGATCAACCAATGGAATATGGGGATAACATGGGGATATGGGAAAAATATGGAAACATATGTGGATCGAACCAATGAATATTGAGTGATCTAGTTGGATATAATATGGAATATTTGATGTAGTAGATATATATATATATGTATATATATATATGTTATGACATTCTGAATATGGGAAAGATGACCAATAAATTGGGTATACCCAAAACCCCAAATCTCCTCTTATATATATTGCCATGACCAATAACTGGGGTGAATTTGGAGTCCTTCGTTTCTAGAATGCCTCATATGGGCCTGTCTGAAAATGAGGTATACCCCAAAAGTTGCCATCAAATAATGAGGAATATGATGAGACACAATGAGACCAGTACCCTATTTTCGGGCAAACCTGAGAGAACAACAGATCAAAAAAGACAAGATCGAATTCTAAACTAGCACAGCTTTGAGCCTCTGCAGGGCGCAGAAAACTGTTTGTCGCAATTTCAGGACCTTGAAAGGCCAGAGGTTTGTAGAAATGTTTAGGTATGTTTTCAGTCTGTTCCAAAAACACTATAAACACAAACTGTCAAAGATGATGATGCTGTGAAACATCAAATGCTTTACAACAATCTGGATCAAAAATACCTATTTTTACCAACCTGAATAGTTCCCCTATGGTGCCCAGTTCCCCAATCCAATTCCCACCTGGTCATCCTTCAAGGTGAGGAGGGCCAGGTCAAACTTGGGGCCTCAGATGATCTCCTACGACATACGACTTGCTGGATCAGCGGTAGCATAAATGCAGCAAGGCAAAAGAAAATCATGAAGCAATTTCCAGAATGACTCAGAGAAACACCTCTGTTGATTCTGAGTTGATTCTATCCCATCCAGTTTCCCAAGCCAAGCTCCACGGCAAGCGGAAACGATCTGCACATCCCACTTCATCTGACCTGAAGCCCATCGAAGCCACAGATCTTCATGGTCTTTTCGATTCTGTTTGGAAGCAAATATGCCTTGGTCCTACAAGAAAGAAGTAGTCAAACCATACAACTGTCCCACACTACATCTTAGGATATCCCTTGTTGCAGAATGTTGCAGTAACAGTGAGCATCAAAACAGCACCAGAGAAATCCAGAGGCGCAAACTATGCAGCAAAAGCTGGACTTGCACGCGCAGTGCATCGTTAATCACCTCGCATGCAGACCACAGGGGTGTCGCAGACCCTGACATGTTTGATTCGAGCAAGCGGATACAACCGTGTTTGTCTTGAACTTGGGCTCCCCAAAATCCGAACAGTTTCGGGTTTCTTGGTGTACTGTACCTTGTGGGTTTGGAGGATGGAGAGTCTTGCCATTTTCCGCCGTTTTTGATCAGTTGCATCCATTCCAACACACAGTCACGAGATAAACCTAAGCAACTCGCATGCTGGTTCGTTGCAATGAGGATGTAAGGTTCCGTTTGGACCTTGGCTGGCACATACCATCAAACACCCATCGTCCACAAACCCGAGACCACAAGCTTTATATAGACTGCAAATGATAGCTCTGAATAGACACTTGACTGGTGATGCTACCTTCATGCTCTTTGCTATGGGCTCGTACTTGGCCTTCAAGTATCTGAAGTCCACACAGTGAAAACATTGGTCATAGTGGTTTGTCTAAAAATATAACACCCCCAAATTTGATGCTTCAGCGTTTGTTCCTACTCTTTTTCCATCTTTTTCCTATGTTTCAAGGGCTATAAATTGAGGTTTATCTTGGGGTATCAATGTTTTTGATTGTTTTTGGACAAAGCCATGTTGTATTACCTCTGGGCTTTTGACAATGAAGCCGCTTCCCAGACTCACTTGTCCATCCTGCGGGTTGAAGGGACGAAACCTCGGCATCTCACGACTTGGTCAATGGGCTACCCCACAGACTGTTTGTCTACCATCATTTTTCCCACTGAAATGGCCATTCAAATGGCCATAAATTGGAGTATCCCCCATTTTTGGAACAGAACAAAAAAATGAAGATGGTTGATGATCAGGAACTCAAACTGCTCTGACTTCATGTTCCTTTAGCTCCGTATCAGCTGAGGCACCAGTCGAAGCTGGCACCGACCGTTTGGATGCGCACAATACCTTGGTTTTGGGGCACCGGATTGACTTACAAAACCTAATTTCCATAGTTCAACATATCCCTTTGAACTAAGTAAATCACATATATATATATATATACAGATTCTAAATATAATGAATTTGTCTAAACTATAGAAATGATGGAATCTCTCTTGCCTTGCTTGGGAGACGTCACCACCAAGTTGCTGCTCTGTAGATGATCGTAGTCAAACTCCTAAGGCTTGGACCACTGGTGGTCCGGGGATCCGGGAAAATAGTAGTCTTTAGAGATCATGATCCTGAACATATGATTGAAACATATATAGAATCGAACATTGGGGGAAAAAATCCTAAAATGGGTGCCCAAAACCATTGCTTTCCCCCTAAGAACGACCCATCTTTGATGATTTTGGGGTCCGAAATTTAGGAAACCACAAATAGACCCAGTTGAGACTGCCTTGTCCACACCTTCAAATCCTGCGCAACCGTGCGCCTGCTTGTCAGAAAGCTTCAGTCCACTGCTCAACGCAAGCAGTGCAAGCAACACCAGTTTGACCTCAGGATGGTTTCATCTCACCCTCCTGCAAACTAAGATAGATGTGGAAAATCACCCTTGTCTCTCTCTCTCTCTCTATATATATATAAATATAGGGTAAATCATCGATAAATGGGCCATGTTCCACATCTATGTTAGTTTACCCCAGGGTAATGGATAGGTATATATATAGGATATGATATTACCAACAGAGGATTATTGTTGATTACTAGTATCTATCAAATCCCATTAACCAATGGAAATATATCAAATATACTAATGATGGAAATGGATCTATATCCAATATACATCAATATACTATGTAACGGAATACCAAATTCTACTAATGATATCGATAATCAAATATTTGGAAATAGATTATTGTTGATTATGAGTATATATCAAATCCATTCAAATCCTAATACCAATGGAAATATATCAAATATACTAATGCAAATCTAATCAATATCCAAAACTGATAGAAATAGATAGAGGAACCCAGGCAGATCCAAGGCTCCAACCATCGCTTGCGCAGCCAAGTACTGCGAAGCCACGACCTCGGGCGGCCAAGCGCAGCTTGGGACAAGTCTAGCAGTTGGAAGTGAGGTGAAAACATGTATAAATTAGGATAAACATGTATGTACATGTTTATTTGCATTCATCTATGTAGGTATCTGTTCTGTCTATTTAGTAATTTAGTGTTAATTGTATATATACATGTGTGTTTGATTGTATTTGATGTTGTATGGTCTTATTTATTCTTACCTTGTTATATTTATATGTTGTGTTTTTTTGTTTAGATATGAGAGACCTGAAAAATGGTCGTTCCTCACACTTTGGATTACCAAGAGAAACATTTACAGATATTATATATATTATAATATATATATATATTATTATTATCATATATATATATATTGTAATATTATATTAATATATATATTAATATTATAATATCATATCATATTATATTACATTACATTATATTTAATATATATATATATCTCAGATCATATCATATCATATCACATTATATTATATTAAATCTATATTACATGGTCATATATTAGTGGCTAGTGAATGAATTCTACCAGATTCTACCAGCGCTTCCATGCACCAAGACCCAGGCCAAAGACGGTGTGACCCACGCTGGGGCCCTTCAATGGAACGGACTGAGCCAATGGCGACATTTTCTGCGACACTTCAGACAGGTCAGAGTTGTAGTCAGCGAGCCGCAGATCACAGTTAGCTTCTGGATGCTTCTGGACATGAAAGAAAAACTCGGACAGTGAGGCTTCGACACTTTCAGTGCACATTAAGAAATATTCGGAATATGCACTCTTGGGCAACATGCCCAAGGGATCTAAAATGTTTCTGTTTTTTTTGCTGCATCCATTCACACAGTACGGTAGTGGCTAACCATTCCTCCCCACAGTTTTTTTTGTGTTGACACGCGTGACCATCCAATGTTTTGCGGCAATTCTGACCCAAACAAAACCAAGAGCATTCACATCGTATCGTTTGAAAAATTGATACATACGTATACGTTTTAGATTGTCTAAGGAAAACATGGTTTTGATCCTCTAATATAGGAGCTTCCCGCAGATTGTCACTTGATTTTTAACACTTGGAAACCGTAAAAGACTTGTCGCTTCCCGATAAAGGCCAGCACCATGCCGATACGCAACTCGTAGCGAGCAGACTCTGCTTCCCGATAAGCCATGCCTCACGATGATCAAGCCATGTAGGCTCCGGTCGTCTCGCCCAGAATGTCCTGGTTTTACATTCCAAAAGGTATATTTAAACCAATCATTGAACCTTGCTTCGATCAAAAGTCATTCCCAAATCTTCTGGTGATGACTTTGAATCATTCCCAAATATAGGAAATGAATTTTTCAATGATGACTTAAATGGATACAACATGGTACTTAAATGGGCTATATTGGGCCCCATCCAATTTCACCGGATTTCACCGCTTAGGACTTAGGACAAAAAACCATCAGTGCTCGGGTGCCACTGCCCAGTCTGGGGTGCCGAACCCATGCGCTCTTTCCGTGTCCTGGGCCTTGGCACCTCATGGCTGGGAATGGCTGGGAAAAACCATGGGAAAAACCATGGGAAAAAACATGGGAAAATATAGTACAATCCAGTATAAATGGAGGTTTATAGCTAGGAAAATCCGAGCGAAATATAGCTAAATATAGCTAAATGATGGTAAATGATGGGAAATGGATGTAAATGTTGGATTTTGCAGCAAGCCATGTTTGAGTACCAGAGACTGGTATGTATACGTCCACTCTTAAGCTATTGATACAAGACACATTGCCTGACATTTCCGATGGTGTACACATTGTGTAAATCCATAACACCAGCAGCCCGTAGTTCGTATCCATCGCCCGCCTTTGTTCCATCTTCATTCACAAAGAACGCTGGAGCCCTCTCATCGGGTGGTGCGTCACTATCGCTCTCAGCACCTCAGAAAATCAAAAGTGAGCAGTTGTTTTTTTTTGCAGACGGGTATGGATCAAAAATGGGACACTAATGGACCCATTAAGTGTGTGTTTTTGAATAGCAAACATTAGTACAGTACAATATAGTAAAACTAATATATAGCTATAATTTGGGGGTTGATTTCACTATCAACGATCTATTGACTATCTATTATATAACTATCTATTTAGGATATTCTCCAGTGAACATAACTATTGACTCATGCCTGCCTTTCTGTGTTGGTTTGTGTCTATGTTGAGACTCAACACTTGACAAATCCGGAGATGAACATTTTGCAGGGAATGGAATCATTGAACTCTACTTATTGGTCAATAGGGGTTCCCAGTTCATAATGACCCAAGATAACCACCAATATATACATAGTGTATACCCCCTAAACTAGTCATCAACTCACAAGGGTTTTGAACACTGCTCATGTGATCCTTTCCCGCTTTACGGAAATGCTACAGGTCTTGTTGGCAATCACACGCGGAAAAACAAGAAGCGCTAAAACTGCACCGATCGAATCACGGTCAGCGAAAGTGGCGTTCGAAAAATCATGGGCCAACCTCAAGCATGCAAACAAAATGAGCCCCATATTGATTTGTCTAAAAATAGGATAAAATAGGGTACCCCATTCCATCCACTGGTGACTTTCAGCATTTCCCTAGTAGCTGGCCATTTGATGGTGGTAAATGTACCCAGGCATCCCCAGGCTATCAGGTACCATCAGGTACCAAACCTTAAATCATCTGGGTGTCAAGCCAATCTCTGCCAGCATTCTTTGAAGGCTCTGAATCTTCTTCTGCTTCTTTCGAACCTGGCCGTCGCATCTCGGAAAATCTCGGTCAGAAGGGCTAAGGGATGCCACCAGGTTCAGCCAACAGATGTTTTTTGCAAAGAGATTTGGGAAAGAACCTGATACACTGTCAGACATCATCTCAAGTTTGCCAAGAATTGGCTTTCTGTTGCAGTCTTGTTCTTCAAGATCCAGTAGTCGTAGCCTCTTATCACACCGGCCTAGTACCTTCTGAGTTTGTGATTTGTCCTTGAAAACTTCGTCAAATACCCAAGACTAAAATTTCTCAGTCTTATGGTACTAGCAGCACTTGAAAACTTCGTCAAATACCCAAGACTAAAATTTCTCAGTCTTATGGTACTAGCAGCACTTGAAAACTTCGTCAAATACCCAAGACTAAAATTTATCAGTCTTATGGTACCAGCAGCACTTGAAAACTTCGTCAAATACCCAAGACTAAAATTTATCAGTCTTATGGTACCAGCAGCACTTGAAAACTTTGTCAAATACCCAAGACTAAAATGTCTCAGTCTTATGGTACCAGCAGCACATTCAAGCATCTAATATAATCACTATAATCTAATCCTTAGTAAAAACATGTAAAAACCAGTTGGGAGATCAGGGTATGACTGGTTCCATGGTACCAGCAGCGCCTGTTCCTCAGCCTTTCTCTGCCTTGCCTCTGCTTTTAACCGAGCCTGCACGTGAGTGGTTGGCTAAGATTTCACGCCTTGCAAAATGGTAAAAATATGTATGTAAATAAAGCTTGCAAAGCCTGCGCATTCTTGATACACTATAGCTGAAAATCATTGAAAATTCAGGGTTCTAGATGGCTTTAGGCCGTGAATATTTGAACCTCTGCAAAATTTCTTCGAAATTCGAGCATGGCGCGGGTCTTTGTATGATCATCCGCTAAAATATCTTAAAAACATATCCAGTTCTGAATCACACACACACACAAAATCTACAAGAGAGATTTGTCTGGATTTGCCATGATTTGTCCCTTGCTCTCAATCCGTCACATTGTAAGATATTGTAAGATGTATTGCACATGGTTGCCTGAATGACTTCTTGCTTGTTTTCTTGAAAGCATCGATTTGCAAAGAAACCAATAAGTGGTGGTTTTAAGAGTCCTTCCACAAAAAAAAAACAGGCCGCCTGTTGGAAGACTTCAGCTTGCTCTTTGGCCTCGGGAGACAAGTGAACTTTTTGGCCAATGGACTTCGAGGGGGATGATCCCAGTAGTTTGACGCCGTAAGCAACCGACTGCCCAATCGGGATCTGTTAAACTGGGTATATCATGGTATATCCATGGTATATCCCTCATAATGGGATGATGTTTACTATGACCCCCAACTGGCTGGTGACTCAAATTCTGAACATGGCATTGAGTGAATCCCAAATTTGGATGGAAATAAACTAGTATCTACAGAACCGCCCAACCAGTCCCAAAAAGAACCATCCTGGACGCCTGTCACCACTGAGCTCCAGTCATATGCCTCAGAGGCCTCTGCTGCTTCTTTGGCTCGGTAGGCTTCATCGCGTTGCGCCTGGGAGTGCCATGGTTTCAACCCGGGAAAAACGGCATCGGATTTGCACCGGTGAGGGATCCCATGCCTCGGCCCCACGACGAGCTTCCTGCAGGATCAGGGACATCAATGGGACATGTATCAAATTGGGCAGAAACTGGGTGACCAAAACCAGTAGCCTCCAAAACTGTTGTTTTCAGAAACATGTTTCCATATGTTTCCATTATATATTCCAACTATATCCCAGTATATCTCATTGTAGTCCGAGTTCACGGGCAATGACCAGATGCATGTCCACCTGCCTTTCGGGGCCCTTGTGGACCCACCAAAGTTGTTTATGTTTGGGTCAAACTATCCATCTTTGCCAATTCTGAGCCATTCCCAATTCAATAAGGGCAAGCTGATAAGCCATTTAGAAAACCCAAGAAGAACATAGAACAATCCCAATTTCTTTACAGGTTGGTCTTAAAATAGAACACCCCAAGAATCAATGGTTTATGATTAAGTTCACCCCCTAAATTGCAATTGCGGTGAATTGTCTTATTCTATTGATATCCCATTCTATCCCTACTTTTGTTGGTTGAATAGTATATCTCCAACTCCAACTGTTTGAGGACAAACCATCTGTGCAACAGGAAAAACCTCACCATCGGTCCTCTGCTGCATCGCGCTGCCGAAGGGCTTTGTCCTTCTCCTGATGAGCTTCTCTTGCCTCCTGCGGGGTGACGCAAGACTTTCTTCGCCAACAAGGAAGTGTCCAACAATGGGGTACGCTAGAATCCAATCGTTTGAACATCATTTCCATACTTAAATGGCCATAAATTAGAGTTGTACTCCATTTTAAGAGAAACCACCAGAAAAAATTAAGGTCAACCAACAAACGTTCGGAGTAAACGAATGAAGTTGTAGATTTAAGTGACAAGAATCCGGATTTAACCAACAAAAAATTGGGATTCCACAAGAAAAGATACAGTAATTAAGGGGATGTAAGGGGCTTATATAATATATCCATTTAACTGGCAAAAATTGAGATCCAAGCGACAAACAGGATGATTTATAGAAATGGATTTCACATTCAACCAACACAGAATATGGGGATTTAATCAACCAGAGTCCAAAAAATGGAGTCCAAAATGCAAGACAACCAACCCACAGGTAGACTTGACATGTTCAGTACATTTCAGTACTGTGTCGGCAATGGTTGCAAATTTTGCCCAGGAGGATCGATCTAACCATCGCTTGTTCGAGTTATATATTGCTCCAGTGGCTGCCATCTATCTATGATCTGTTTACGTATATATACAATGCAATCTCAGGTGTACTTTTCCCTACGATTATAGAACATATTCAGGATTTTTCTAAATAGAAGATGCATTTTGGGCGTGCAGCCAAAGGCGCTTTAAATAGAACATATTGCAGAGTGCAAAAGTAGCTCAAATGACAAAAAATCCAACAATAAATCCCTCAACATTGGGATTGTCTTTGCAATATCTTTTATTTAAAGATCTTTTGTTCCACTGCTATTTTTTGTTGTTTTTGCAGGAAATTACATAAAACCAATAGAACATTGACGCCCGGACTCGGGTAACCCCCCGAAGAGGGGAGTGCAAAAGTACCTCCCGAAGTGGGACCCGGCCAAAGGTACTTTTGCACTCCCGCCTTCGGGGGGTGGGGTCGGTGAAAAACTGTTTAAAAAACCCCAGGTTTTTTTGTTTGTTTGATTGGGGGATGGTGATTCAAACCCATTTTTGAATAGAAGATAATCTGAAATGCTATTGATTTTTTAAATAGAAGATATTCGAGGAGTACTGAAAAACACTTCTCAAATAGACGATGATTCAGATGATATTTCATGAGGGAATCCAGAGGGTTCCACCAAATTAGTTTTAAATAGAAGATATTGGTTTGTAACCCCATGAGTTCGACAGATCCCAAATGCATGAAGAACAATTTTCAAATAGAAGATCATTGTTTTTTTGCTTGGTTTTGGGCCTTCATAGGTTGGGCACAAAAGGGGGCACAAAAACCATAGTCCTCAAATGAAAAATGATAGGGATCCCGAAACATCGAAACAACACTAGGAAAAACATAATACATCCAATTGTCAAAAACATTCTCAGATCATGCTCTAACCTCGAGATCCCTGCAGAAAGGCAATAATTTGATTATCTTCTAATTTGAAATGCCTTCGGGAAAGCCTCAAAACAGCCCGTTTTGCACGTAAAATTGGAGAATATCTGGGCTGCCAGGGGTGATGCAAAAATGATATAATATTTGAATATCTTCTATTCAAAACACCTTTGGGAAAGCCTCAAAACAGCCGGTTTTGCAAGAACAACTTGGAGAATTTGAGCTGTGAGGGGCGGGCAGGAATAGTAGATAAATTTGAATATCTTCTATTTGAAATACCTTTGGGAAGGCCTCAAAACAACTAGTTTTGCAAATAAAATTGGCGAATCTGGACTTGCGGGGGTGGGCGGGAATAATACTATTTGAATAGCTTCTATTTGAAATGCCTTGGGGAAGCCCCAAAACACCCATTTTTGCACAGAACATTGGAGAATCTGGGCTTTCAGGGGTGGGCAGGAATACTACTAGTTTGTATATTTTCTGTATTAAATGTTTCTGGGAAGCCTTGAAACTTTAGAAGATATCAGTTTGGACCCTCCCGGGACCATAGTTGCGGAGAGTGCAAAAGTACCTCCAACATCCCGGATGTTCTACCATGTTGGGTCTTTGAATTAATTTACAGTATCTTCTATTTAAAATGTGATTTTCTGCGCGTCCAAACTCCAAACCAGTTTTAAATTCTACATAGAAGATTGGTTATCCAATAATTCCCGAATATCTTCTATAATCGCGGTGGGAAGTATAATGTAATGTAATTAATGTGATATAATGTAACGTAATGCAATTTAATGTATGTAAGGTAATGCAATGTAATGTGCTTTAATGTAATGTAAAATAATGTAATGCTGTGTTGTGTTGGGTTGCGTTGTGTTATGTATGCCATGATGCCAGGATCAACCATTGAGGTCATCCGTTTCATCAACTTCTTCTCCATCTTCCGATGGCTGTATATTACGGTTCTATCATGTGTTATCCAAATGTGATCCCAGTATTTCTAGATCATACTTAGTTAGACATGGCAATGATACTGTACCCATCAGTACCCTTCGTTTCTGGAGAGGCAACAAGAAAGTCGTGACCTTTTCTGCATCTGGGAGTCAAGAACTAGAGCAACTAGATGACATATAATCTTCGGGGAAATGAACATCCTTTTACCAGCTGCAAGTATGTCACTGTTCCATACTGTTCCAACATGTCGACTGTTCCCTTCCCGCGAATCAGCTCCCGTTGAGCCAGTTTCATGTTCCGTTCTGCTTCATCTTGTTGGCGTCGAGCCTCTTCGATACCTTGTTGGGGATGATCCCAGCAATGGGTAACGGGATAGTCTTGTCATATTTTGTCCCAACCTAGTCCGTGCATGTCGAACCTTTAATTATGTCAATACAAACATATATCATGTATGTATGTACTTACATGTCTAGTCTATTGTATACATGTGGATATAAAATGATAGATTATAGATGTATATTGCTGGCTATAAAATTATAAATGACTATAAATACATATAAATACAATAATCATGTCTTAACTAAATTGCAAAATCTCCCAGTAACCTCCAGTGGATGGCGGGGGCTATGAACCGACCTTTTTGGAGACCCCAGAAGTTGCAGAATCCGTAGCTATGAAAAGCAACCATGATGGGATACGATTCTATGAATTTCTATGATACAATGGATGTGTGGGACCACATTCTGAACAATTCAATGTCCCAACCATTCCCATCCATTCACCAATTCTTCAATGGTACCAACCCAATCCAACCAACATACCGCTTCAAACATATTCAAAAATAAGTCGCATCTTTTTTTTCTTTGACTAAGATCGTTGGTTCTTAATATTGCAACCAACTGTGCCTTGTGTGCTGTACCGATGGCCCTTGTTGCCGCTGGCCAAGTGGCCGTGGCTTCATTGGTGGAAAAAAACCAGGGATTTTTTGTTGTTCAGGTCATCCACCGAGGCGCAAGGACATCAAATGTCAAGCGCCATGCGCCTTTCCATGTCAAATGTCAAGTATGATAGATAGATGTAGATAGTACATGATAGTACATGAGAGTATTTCTTGGATCTATGGTGTCCCTGCAATTGAGCGATACAGCAAAGCAGCCAAGATTTCACTTCCACAACGGAGGTTGTGACTTCGCGACAGTTGCTGAATGTTGCTGATACAAACACTTCAATTCTGTTGAGAAATGTCCACTTCTGCTTTGTGTTTCATGCCTTTATACCCTCTGGTGAACTAACATAGCAATTGAAAATTGCCATTTATAGTGGATTTTCCCATTAAAAATGGTGATTTTCCATTGCTATGTTAGTTCACCAGAGTGTATCCTTTATGTTTTGTTACCAACACTGGAAACGGTCATTTTTTGTGTCACTAAAACTTGGTCAGGAAAACCCCTCGAAAATTCTCCAAGATACCGAAGATTCCTGGGATGATCGGGTCCCAGGTGAATCGTGACGAATCCAAAAAAACCAACAGTATGGACCATCCCATGTCACAATACCAATCTTTAGCGGATTGATTTACCAAACTTTATCTGGTTGCTGGTGACTTAACCCCTCTGAAAAATATATGTAAAAATATATGAGTTCGTCAATTGGGATGATTGTCTCATATATGACATGGAAAATAAGAAATGTTTGAAACCACCAACCAGTTATTCTATGCAAACATCTACAGTACCTCAAAATTCTACTCGGCCTCAGTCACTAAGTCTTTAGACATCTGGAGTCTGATGGGTTGATGTACCAAAGTTTGGTTGACCATGACTGGGAAAGTCAGTTTCCCAATAATCTCAATCAAGTTCCCAGTACGCGTACAAGGCTGGTCAGCCTTTGAGGATCCGTCAAGAAATTCAGGTCTTATTCATGTCATTTGATATCAAAATATATCATTTTATATATATATATATATCTACTATGTGTATTATAAATGTACTTTTTTTGAGACGCTAAGTATCATCATATACGTATACATGATATGTCTCTGTGTGTGTGTGTCTGCGGTTGGGTAAAAACAATGAGCTGGGAGAATGAAGAACCCCTCCATGGATGTGGAAGCTGCATGAGCGATGTCACCGTCGAAGATGGACTCAACACGAGGGGTGCAGCAATTGCTGCGAAATTGTGTGAAAGTGCTGCGCAGGCCAAAGATGCCAAAGGTTGCTTGGCCCTGGCCGCAGAGCCACAGAAACAACAACGTGCCAGTTTTCTCCGACACGCAGATCGAAAGAATGGGCGTAACCAGTAACCTGTATCGATTTCTATTAGCCTGTTTGAACAAATGTGTTTCAGGTATGAAACCTGAAACCTGTGAAAACTGTTCAGTGTTCGACTACTGGATACCACTTACGCCACTTACAAGTCGACAAGTGTCCTTTTCTCACAGACTCTTGTCACGCCCCCCAACTTCGTGTGTAACCAAACTCAGAATCTCGCAAACACAAATTCCAACATCCAACAATATTTACCCTCTGGTCATACGGAAACTCACCGTTTTAATGGTAATCATCTCTTCCATTGGATCTGCCCATGGGCCATGTTCGAAGCACGTTTGGTGGCTATCTCCCGTGGCTCCCCATTTCCATATCTCAGTTCACAAAGGCAATGGAGGACACGGTTTTGGTGGCTGAAGCAACGCCGGATCCGGATCGAGACGGCGCTTCGAAAGGTGGCTCGGAAAATATCTGACGAACCAACGCAATCCGATCGTTCAATCGGACCCCGGCTGCATCTCCACCTGGCTCGCGCAAACTTGACGCGACAAACTGGGCTGAAAATAGGATGTAATAAATTGGAACTTTGCGGTAGAACAATATCTATTTGGGCAAATGCATAGCTGGAAAAATGCAAACTGTCATTTAGTCAGCTGGCAAAAAGTCAAATAGCATCTTGAAAACCGCCAGCTGTGCACAGTTCCAAGTTAAATTGTTTGCCTGAAATGAGCACTTTGCAAACCCGGCCCACGCAGACAAGTTTGTCGGCTGATAGAATGTCAAATAGCATAACAGATAGAATGTCAGAGAGAATGCCAGAGAAAATTCAGACAGAATGACAGATAGAATGTGAATGCCAGATAGCATGTCAGAATGCCACATAAATTTCGGACAGAATACCAGATAGAATGCCAGATAGAATGTCAAATAGAATGCTAAATAGAATGTAAGACAGAATGCCACATAAAATTTCAGAGAGAATGCCGGCTGCCAGATAGAATGCTAGATAGAATGCCACATAGAATGTAAGACAGAATGCCAGATAGAATGTCAGACAGAATGCCAGATAGACTGTCTGACAGAATGCCAGATAGAATGTCAAAAAGAATGCCAGATAGAATGTCAGACAGAATGTCAGATAAATTGTCTGACAGAATGCCAGATAGAATGTCAGATGGATTGTCACAGTGACTGCCAGATAGAATGTCAGAATTTGTGCAGGATAGAATGTCAGATGGAATGCCAGAAAGAATTTCAGATAGAAGATCCGAATATATGTCAGATAGAATGTCAAATAAGATTACAAATAGAACGTCGGATAAGATGTCAGATAGCATGCCAGATAGAATGTCAGAATATAATAGAATGTATGTCAAGATATATGCCACTGTGGGGGGTCACACCAAGTAAAGTAATATGGAACGTGGAAGCTTAGCAAACTTTGACCCACCAACACACATCCATATCTCCTTCAACCCCTACTTAAGCAATGCCATAGTTTCACCAACAAATTATCAGCAACAATAATTGACAATCTAATACAAATTCTGTGAAGTTCAACCTCTCAAGAAGTACCATATTTTTACCGTACACCCCTTAAATTGAACATGGAACCTCAAAAATTGGGTCTCTTCAGATGATTTCTGGACTTGAACATTGCCCGTGTTCCATGATATCCAAGTACATTATATATATATATAATTCTATAATTATATAAAACCATATATCTATATAATTATATTATATGTATATAATACCATATACTACATTATTAAATCCCATTAAATCGCCAATTTCTTCATGATAAAACCCCCATTTCCAGTGTTTACCCACATGAAATATCATGAAATCCCATGGAAAAATCCTATGAAGAATCCCGTTCAACCCCCATTTTCAACCACATTTCCAAACGCTTCCAAGCGCTTCCCAGCCCCGGGGCCTTCCCATTGCGCCAGCTCCAGTAGCTGCACCAAATCGCTGATGGGTGCGCCATCCGCACGGCCCGTGAGCAGCAAACGGATCGGCTGATGGAGGCGTGGCCCTCGACAGTCGGCTTTTGGGATCCCTGAAACTTTGGTGTCGACGAGTAAAGTCATTCATATATGTATATATATATATATGGGTAAATTATGGTAAATTATAATATTTCACCAACCTGAATTGTTGGGCCATTTGGGGATGATTTCCCTTATTAACAATGATTTCAGTGAGGTCACAGTGAGGTCGTTATAATTTACCCATATATATATATAGATAGATAGATAGACAGACAGACAGACAGACAGACAGAGAGAGAGAGAGAGATAGATAGATAGATAGATAGATAGACAGACAGACAGACAGAGAGAGAGAGAGAGAGATAGATAGATAGATAGATAGATAGATAGATATTCGATGATATTCATAGATCACTGGTTTCTATGTGGTTTAACCATCAATCTCAGGGATCACTGGGATCTTCCCAGCAGAAATCTCTCTTCCCGGCTAGAACCTGGGATACAATCCTGGTATCTATGGCTAGATTCCCACTGATATCAATGAATTACCCTCTGGTAAACTAACATAACTATGGAACATCACCATTTTTAATGGGAAAATACACTATAAATCACCATTTTCAATAGCTATGTTAAATTACCAGAGGGTATATAGTACTCAACGCAGTCACAAAGCCAGATTTCAACTGAATGGATCTGAATGGCTGGAATACCAAATCCAAAGCTGCTCAAAGAGATATACAAAGGATTTAACTGGAACCGCAGCCCCAATCCCCGACGCTACTGTAAAGACAGCTTCACTGCGAAGCGAAGGCCTCGTCGGCCCTGTGCGCGCAACTCTTCCAACAGACTTGGCAGGTGGTGACCTGACGTCACCAACTGGAAACTGTCACAAGTGGGCCTGTATAGTGTTGCTATATATATATATATCTATAGAGTTGAATTCTATATGAATGAATCCAGTAATGTGTCCTTGCATGTTATAGGTATAATTACCTATAGATATGATATATATATATATATATATACTCATAATGCGTATAAGTTAGTAAGTACTGGTATCCAGACTTCTCAACTCTATCTTTTCAAAGAACTTCAGGGTCACCAAGATCTCTTTCTCCCCGCCCAAAGCCCAGCGACTCAAGTTGTCTGCGTGGCGCAGGAGAACTGGAATTACCTCCGAGACACCAAAAATCACTGGTCCAACGACGGAGATGGGGATATCATCTGGTAAGGGGATAGAATGGGATGTGGTATAGGATTTACATGGATTTACTATCTGGGCTTTAACACTTTGCGAACTGGAAAATGTTCCCCACAATAGGTAAATCATCGAAGTAAATGGGGTGTGTCATCGATTTTGCATAGCTCAGTTTTATAGCCGGATGAGAATATAACTAGAGGATGGAGGAACAAAAACAAGCAAACACTGGCACTGTCAGTGGTTTTTGGATGTAAATCCACATCCCATGAAATTTCTTGGCTGGAAACATCCGAGGAAAAAAAACAACAGAGAAACCTTGTACTTTGATGCAAATTTAAGGGGATATTCAGGATGTTCATCTAGCCGTTTTTTTGGGTTTTGACCTCAAGTACAGAAGTTGGGATAATTACCAACATCTATGGGGATATCTAAACTCATGGGTACAACTTGCATAGAAAGAAAGAGTCAAATGCAACAAGCCTGTACTTAACTATGTGATGCTGATGTTTTTTTCCTCTATGAGGATTCTTTCCGCTTGTGATTCCAGTTCCCATTCACCAATTCGTTGCAGCCCACCTCTCAACTGGTCAAAATCCCACGGATTATGTCAAATCGCCAAGTTGAGTAAATCTACATGGCTATGGTGGGTCAAAACGTCCGGTAATTACACCCCCAAGTAATCCCTTCCCCCTATTACTAACCCCCCCGAATAATAAAAACTTTGGAAAATTTCAGGTTGGCCAATTTGACTTTTAATTGATCCCCTTTAGAAAAAAAAATTACTTTACTTCGTGTGATCCCCACCATGACATTTATACATTTTGTTACTGGCAAATCTTCTGGCATTCTATCTGACATATTTTCTGGCATGCGATCTGGCATTCTATCTGGCATATCTTCTGGCATTCTACCTGGCATATCTTCTGGCAGATGTTCTGGCATATCTTCTGGCAGATGTTCTGGCATACTTCTGGCATATCTTCTGGCATATGTTCTGGCATATCTTCTGGCATTCATCTGGCATTCTATCTGGCATATCTTCTGGCATATTATCTGGCAAATCTTCTGGCATTCCATCTGGCATTCTATCTAGCATATCTTCTGGCATATTATCTGGCAAATCTGCTGGCATTCTATCTGGCAAACATTCTGGCACTTTATCTGGCATATCTTCTGGCATTCTAGCTGACATTCTATCTGGCATTCTATCTGGCATACCTTCTGGCATTCTATCTGGCATATCTTCTAACATTCTATCTGGCATATCTTCTGGCACTCTATGTGGCATATCTTTTGGCGTGGATACTCGCGGTTGAGGTCCGGCAGGGAACACTGGGCGTGGATGGTCGTGGTTGAGGTCCGGCAGGGAACACTGGGCGGGGATACTCGCGGTTGAGGTCCGGCAGGGAACACTGGGCGTGGATGGTCGTGGTTGAGGTCCGGCAGGGAACACTGGGCGTGGATGGTCGTGGTTGAGGTCCGGCAGGGAACACTGGGCGTGGATGGTCGTGGTTGAGGTCCGACAGAGAACACTGTGCGTCGAGGGTCGCGGTTGAGCAGGAGGAGGAGGAGAGGAGAGGAGGAGAGGAGAGGAGAGGAGAGGAGGAGAGGAGGAGGAGGAGGAGGACGAGGCAGGAGGAGGCAACTGACATAAAATCTAACAACCCTCACCTGGCAGGTGGGGAATAACAATCAAGCTACTATTTGTGGGTTTCACCCCCTAATAAAAAATAGTCAACCCCGGGGTGTTTTTTATTAGGGTCCGTCCGAAAACTTTCGTTTTTTATATTCAGGGTTTAAATTGATCATTAGGGGGAAGCTTCGAAATCCAATTTTTTGCAATATTTTAATTGCGTTATAAAAGGAAGGTTAATTGATTTTGAAATCGAAAAAAATAGTTTGTTTTTATTGAGGGTTTAAATTTATTGTTAGGGTTCGCTTGGGTTCCCTAATCATAAATACCCCCCTAATACTCCAGTAGCTACCTGAGGTGTTTATGATCTGGGGGGCGGTAGTATTAGGGGGAAGGGATTAGCTGGTATGGCTGCATGTTCACTCCCCTCAGAGGCCACACCTCCAGGGTATCCTGCACCAACGCGAGAATGCGCGGATAGCCCTCTTTGGCTGCCGCCACGGCATCCTCCAAGTCGAAGACCAATGCCTTCGTGGACGGCCATGGTGAGACCATCAACATCATTCGGCAACTGGAGCCCATCTACCAGGTGTAACCTCTAAACCCTGTCACCCAGACATTCAAACCAAAATAGCTGCCAGTTATGGATGTTCATCCCCCCATGACCAGATCGAAAATCATGTGGTATTGATCCATTCCCACATATACAAAATATGTGTATAGACATATGACTCTACCATATCGTATCAAATCACATGTATCCATATATATATATTAGTATGTATATATATAATTAATTATGTGAAACCACCACATGTAAGTGTATTATATATATAGTACATATCTAAATCATTATACACATATAATATATATATACGGTCGATTCTGTGTGTATACCCTTTCCCTAACGTTCGCCTCCCGCAGGGCCACCAGGGCTTCTGAGACGGAACGGCAGCCACGTGCCACGCAGAAGCGAACACATTCCTGGCGAGTGAAACGGATGAAACGGTGGAGCCACTGCTCTCAATGCCTTGGGAAAATCAGGGAAAATTATGGGAAAAAATAATAAATATAAAAAAGTGACATCATAGTGACATCCTACTATTTTCTAGTCGTCAAGTTATTCATCAATTACTTCTCTATCTTCTTGGGTTTTTATATGGTTTTTAGATAGTTTTTATGACATACCACATAAACATGGTGGGTTCCTCTAAAACGTTCTCTGCGCCCATTCTGGGAATCTCAAGAACATGCCATGTTACAATGTTGATTTATAGGCCATCGACACCCCATTGTTCGTTGGTTACGCTCCGGTACATGAAAACAAACATAGATAATTTACTGAAAAAACATTGGTTGTCCATACCTATACACACACATATATATATATATATATATATACCACTTTACTGGAGAGTATAGCATTTATGACGGTTTGTCAAAATGTATGTTCCCGGTTTTGTTGATAAATCGCAATTCCATGCGTGCCGCCTCATGTTTGCCTTTAAAAAACATGACCTACCTTGATGAGGTGAAAACGTGGAAATTCTTCGTCACCTTTGGAAATCTTTCTAAAACCACAGGAATCGGCTAACGCACGTCGGTTTTCATTCGCTGTCGCTGGTACTATCTCCTGAACTGTGTGTCTCTGTGTGTGTCTTCTTGACATGCCTCCTGATCAACGCTGTTTCCTTACTGTAAGCTACCAAAGCGTGAACATGGCTGTGCCTCTGAATGGGCTGCGGGTGGACCGGGGCATGTATTTGCAATAAAACGCGTAAAAAATCGAAAATTAGGGAATATGTGGAAACTGACAGACTTGTAAGAAAAGCTGGCAAGACATTCACGACATGGAGGCCATGGCTGTCAATCAAAGCTAGCGCAAACCTAGCGGGTTTGCTAGCGCTGCCTTGCAGAATTGCCGAATTTAGTTGCGTGCCGCCTCATAACGAAGAGGAAAAAACAGTAGACCCAGATGAATTATCAACAACCAATACTAAACTTCTAAACAACTATTTTTGACAAATGGTCTTATGCATGCTGGTCTATTTAATAGCGTCAATTCTCAGGATATCCATAAATATATATGTATATATCATAGTATATTATATACAGGCAGAAATGCATTGATAGACACAATATAAGTGTAACCCAAATCCACTATCAGGTAGGTAGGGTTTAGAGTACGTGGCGATCTGTTGTGATCTGTTGTCTTCAGTGCACCTTTCAATAGTTTGGGATATATGTCTTCAATGTCTCAACATGCCTACACAAGAAAGTGGTTGACAGCTAGCCTCTTTCACAAAGGGGGCATGGCGCAGAAATGGTGAGTTTCGGGACAACAAAATTGGTCATAGCATGATATTATCAAGTAAGTTTCATGTTATGTCCCCCCCATTTGTGAACACTATTTTTTGTAGGTTAAACTACCAATGACTTTTGGCGTATCCAAGACTGCCAGAAGAACATAGCCGTATATAATCATCGCTGATCTTCAAAATCATAATTACAGTATCACCAGTCTTCCAAAGGTATGTTTATTAGCGTATAGAAATATCATTATCTTCCAAAGGTATGCATCCATGATCCATGTTCAGCTATCATAAATCAGCTATAAATCCCATTAAACCCACATTTTCCTATGGTTTCCAACCAGTTTTTGGCTTATTGTTCATCATCCCAGTCTCTCACCATCTCTCATCCCCTGACCGTCCCGAACCGTCCCGGACAGCACCTGGCACAGCTGACCTTCCTCATACGCCGCGATGCCATCTTCCACCACCCAGCGGGGCAACTGTTGCGCCAGCTCCGCACCTAGGGCTGGAAAGGGGGCCATGGGCCATGGTGCAGAGGGTGTCCAAGAGTGCGGTTGTTTCAACCGTTGAAAAGCCCATTCAATGGATTGCTCTTGTTGAGAAAATCTATAGCAAAATTAGCAAATCATGATTTTCGTTGGTAAAAGATAGGGGGTTCCATGAATTTCCAGGAATTTTCACCGATTTCACCATCCAATTCTGGGACTTCAAAGGACTTGGTAGCTTCAAGCATAGATGATCCAAGGTGCTGGTGCAAATCTGATCGAGTCCCAAAGTATCCTTCTGTACTTCTGGGCCCAGATAAATCGCATAGGAAGTCACCAAACGTCCGCCTCAAAGCTGGAGATAAATCTGCAGATGGCCAACGCAAGGAGCTCAAATTCTTTCGGCTCAAGTTGTAAATGTCAACTGAGCGGTGTTCAAAAGGGTTAGTGTATTTCATTATACTCATATGGTGCGTTCAATATGTTTGAGAAAAAATAATGGGATAATTATCACATCGTGCAAAGTTGGCTTCTTGGTTCAAGCCGCACGTCGGACAAAGATCCGTACTTGCCCAGCCAGAGAAAAACACATCTTCACCCAGACATGATAATCATGATATATCATGATTTGTCATGATATTAAGCTCAGGTACTGTCTTCGACTAAGACGTCTTTGACATCTTGCAGATTATTGGAATGGCCACTTCGACACAGCACATGTCTGTAGCGCTGACCATGCATGGTGGTCTCCTGGGCAGCCAGGAGAGGGCAGGGAGATGTGGATGATGTGGCTGTAGCTAGCTGAAAGTATTCAAACTCTAGCCTTCCAAACAGCACAAGACTTGAAGCTCCTCCAAGTCCAGAACAGGCAACAGTGGTTCAACCCCGTCCCAACTGTGAGTCGTGTGCGTGTGCGTATTACGCTTACATCGTATACATGATGTATAATTTAATAAATCTATACATGGATCCCATAGTAACATGTAGTAACCATAGGCCCCCTGGTGATTCTTCAATACCAACCCCATCCCCCAACGTTCACGCCCAAAACAATCTTTGTTTAGTAGAGGCTCTACACTTATTTGGGACCGTTTTGGAGGGTTTAATATCAGGGGGACGGGTTTGTTTCCGGTATATTTGATATATTTCCACATATTTGATCATGGATTTTAAGTATATGTGGTATTCAATCAAATTCATGATGATTATAAAATTATATTATATATTGAATCCATGACATCAAATTCATCCACAAGTCCCGGGTCTCGTGGCGCCTTGGTGTAACCTTCATCGTAAGCACCGCTCCAGGGGATCCAACCATTCTGCCTTGCCATACCTGGAAGGATTCGCTGATATTGATGTAATTTTTGAAGAACAAGAAGCTCCTGAAACTGGGATTCAGCATGGTTAAGCTATATATTATACTTTGATTATGAATGATTCATATAGCCAATGATGATAATTCATTATAATTCTAGATCATTCCAAATAAACGCCAGAAACCTTGCTGTAGTGGATTCAATCCACTAAAGTTACTAAAACCAGCACATGTGCTCCTTCTCAAGGGGCACCAATAAGTCTGAGCCATTTCCGAAATCATTTAATGGTTGGGGGTTGTTTAATATTGATCACCGGTAGATCTCTGGCTTTTTTTGTGGCTGAGTTGAGCCCAGGGGCCGGGTGTGGAGGTTTCAAAATATGCCACAGTCCCAACTGCCAGTTGCCACTCGGGCGAGGTTCCTATGAAAAAGCCGCCTTGGTCCTGAAGAGAGGCAGGTTGGGATGGTTGGTGTTGGGAGTTGGCTTCCGTAAGCCTGCAACGTACTGCTTTTGAAGGTCATGGAAAAGGGAAGCTTTCTGAAAATCCAAGGACTGCTGTTCTCAGCCACTCGGTCCTTCACAAGTTTGTGACCGTCATAGTCCCACACGAACTTCCCAGACACATACCTTGGCCCGTTGGAACCAGGGTCTGGCCAGGAGAACTTTTCTTGCACCATGCCTAGCCAAGTGAATGCCTAGAAGTTGCAAGATTAGATCTTTAGATCGTTCTCTGCAAATTGCTGGTCTGTCGATCTTGTTCCAGGAAAATTGCTTGTAGTCAGGAATCTGAAGCCAAGAGTTTGGGCCGCTGGTCATCGCTGGTCACTAAGCTGCGACCGAATCACCTGCTGTTCACCGGACCTGCTTCAGCGTTGTTGTAGATGTATCCCAGATATCTCGCTGTGCCTCTGACCTGACTGAAGCTGCAGGCGAACGAAATTACAGTTCAAAGATTGGCAATGATGGTATCAAAATCGAAACAAAAGCTTTCAGCATCTTTCAGAGCCCAGGACTGATTAATTATATCTGATTATCTCTGATTATCATTCATGTATTCTAACATATTCTAACCGTCTCAGGTTCTCTCAGACCCCAATGTTTGAATCTCCGCAGATCCGTCCAACTTCGGCGGAGGCCCCCGGAGGCCGAGGGCCTCTTCGAGGTAAAACTTGAGCCACGAGTGAAACCCACCGGCCACGGGTTGTCCGGAGATATCTTCCGTCAAGTTGCCTGGAGGTGAGACCGGCTGGGATGATCCAAACGGGCAGCAGTTGAAATTGGGGTACCTCCAAGATGGGATGAGTTGTATCGAGAATGCCTAAAATATATTAAAATATGTGGTTGTGAGATGTTGTGAGGTTGTTTTTGGGCCTCAAAGTTTAATACATAATTATCCAACTCAGCCCTAAAATGAATGAAACATAATGAAACCAATACCAAACGCCACTGAGATACCCAAGAACACATGCTCGAAGACACAAGGCTTGCCATCGCGCCGTTGAAACCACAGCTTGAACAAGACTTCCTGTCCCAGCGTTCCACAGAGAAGTAGTTGACATACAACAAACAAAGTGAGGAGGGAGTATGCCTTGTGAGAGCGTGTTTCATTGATCTGCTTCAACCAACTGTCTATTTTCTGTGTTTCATTGCAGCATGTGCACACCCTTCTCAACAGCAAATTGCTCTCCTTCCATTGTCTTGTCAGAACAATTGGCAAAGTCTTTGTGATATGGCGAAAGGCGCGACCTCACTGCAAGGCAAGTTTCAAGATAAAACCCAATGTCTGACCAAATTTATGATTTGCATCTGGATTGGCTAATTTTGGTCTGATTCTCCTTGTATCCTCTTATAGAGATTTATGGTATGGGCATGTATGGGCATGATATGAAGTCTTTATGACTTGCAAACCCAAACGATGACTAGCTTGTTGGACAAATGCAGCTTCAAAGCAATAAGTATCGAACTGCGCCATTTGATGTATGGAGGTTTCCTACAGTAAAATGGGGGTACCCCTACATCATCCAAATTAGACCATGTTAATACTGAAACCCATGGTCTTGGGGATCCCCCATGACTTAAGAAACCCCCGCATGTTCAAATTTTCAGGTTTTCGATTCCAAGCGGAGCCATTCCAGACATTTCCAGACAACATTTACGGCCAAGTGACGCATGACTGAGGTGCGCGTCACCTGTTCCAGAAATTCATCGATTGCACTGAACTCCACCGGGCTATATGGACCCGGTGTACCTTAAACGCTGGGAGCATCGACAGCCCGGACTCGTTTCGGAAACTGGGTAGATAAAGGCGTAAAATGACAACTTCTGCGCCCTTGTGGCTATGGAAAATAGAGTTGGCTGTGGGTTAACATTCAAACCCTGAAGACCGACAGCTTTTGGTCAATCTTTGGTTTTGACATGCATCAACCATCTGATTGTTTGGAGTACCAAATTTTCACCCCCAGTGTATCCAGATTGCCATGGTCCTGACCCACATTGACCCACCTTAACCGTGATAACCCGCTAAAAATCACGAGCCAAGCCTCTGCCATTTGCTTGACTGGCTTCTGCAGGCTGAAAAACCTGCAAAATCTGTAACAATGGCTTGCAAATGACTGCACTTGTATGCGTGGTTGGTGATTGAGCCACCTCCCTGAAAAATAGGAAACCCTGAAAAATAGGAAAGTCATTGGGGATCATCATCCAATTTCTATTTTGAAAATGAAAAACACCTGAAAACACCACCAGAGATGCAAATGTCTCATATGATCCTAAACACAAAGGAGCTCGGATTGAACATCAGGGATGCTGGTCTATCCATGGTCACGGGACATTTTGCAGAGAAGGCTGCTCCTGGTGATTGGAAAATGACGAAGACCATCACAAGATACGAGAGCAAACGTCAAATGAAAGTTGGATTCACCGTCAGAATCCATGGAACTTCGCCGATGAAACAACCGCGTCTTTCTGACGTTTCACATGCCATGGTTTTTCAGCCACCGCGCTGCTGAAAACCATGTGTTCACCACAGCGAGAAACATCGAAGATCCTGACCAAAGTCAGGAAAGTTGGACGAGCTAAGATCTCTGGAGCCACAAAAGCGAAGAGAGGCCTCTTGGCACACCTCAGCGACCGGCAGCAGCAGGCAGCAGAGTAAAAACAAACATAAACTCTAGACATTTCTAATCATTTCTTAATAGATGAGTATAGATGGGGTAAAGTATCTTTTCCCATCTGCGTCATCTGCTCCTGTATAATCTGTATATATATAATATTGTGTGCACGTATATACATATTCATACATATTCTCGCATAGATACATCGGTAGATAAGAAATTGTACTTTGTACTAGTATGTGTCTGTACATATCATATGATATTATATATACATATGCATATACATATGCATACATATGCATACATATGCATACATATGCATACATATGCATACATATGCATACATATGCACTAAACAGATTCAGGTGGCATTCTGGAGTGAACATGTCGAGGTTTGGCCTTACACCCCTGTCCAACACAGGGTTCCAGGGCATTTCAACTACGGCTTCCAACATCAGGCGTTCTCGAACCGAGGGGCTCGGCCAGAGTGGTCCGTAGCGCTGGGACCTGCTCATCCAAAAGAATATCCTGAAGAAAGGGCCAAGAACCAAAACCCATGGGCAACCAGTAAAGGATCGTCCCCAATCGTCCTGGGATTTGATGTGAATTTCACTGGGCACGCGGGCTCAGTGCTGCAAAGAAAGAAGGGATGCCTGTACTAGCCTGTACTGACAGATGCTTCATGATGCTTCCCATTGAGGGTTTGAGGGTATCAAACCATGTTTTTACTGTGGCGTACACAAACTTTGAGCCAAGCTAAAAACGATAGATACCTCAAAACTATTCAAAACTTGGATTTTTGTGACTTCCGGGGAAAAAAAAGCACGAAAAAACACTAAGCATGGAGAATGGTGGCCATCATTTTTTCTGAGATGATGCAGCCAGGCCCTCCCGATCTCCCAGGGTCTTCATTTCGGTGGAACCGAGGCGCAGCATCCGCATCCAGCCAGGGTCTTCGTCCACCTTCTCCCGGACGCCTCAAGTTAGGATTTTTAGAGGTTGGTAGTTTTTGTTGCTGGTTTAATGTGATGTAATGTAATGTAATGTAGTGTAATGTAATGTAATGTAATGTAGTGTAATGTAATATAATGTATTGTAATGTAATGTAATGTAATGTATGTATATATATAATTATATATGTGTACACATGAGATATGGTACAAGCCACAACAAAAGATCTATGTACATATATATATAATCATATATATATATATATGACATACATTGAGATTCAGCAAACATAATACTTGTAGAAGCTGAAGCATTACTAAGGAAAAAGCACGAATAGGAAACGAATGGGATGTGGCCAAGAAATCCCTTTTGAAGTCGCTTCTGAAGCGTATACGGCGTAGCCGCTGGCAAGAAACCTGGCACTGACTGCACAGCGTCCCTCATCCAAAGCCCAAAGTTCATCAAGGATCTCCACAACATCCTGGCGCCATCGATTCAATGGACTTCACCAGTCTGAAGCTTTGGTGGCTTAGTGAAGACATTGTGGTTGCGCCATGGGTATGCCCATGGCTTATAATCACATGTAATATATATATATATATATGTATATATATATAACATGTCAAAAGAAGATTAGCATAACTACCCCATCATGGATAACCATGAAATAAACATGGCTATCGATTTATCGCCACACCCAGCCACGCTTGCGCCACGCAAGCGCTACGCAAGCGCTTCCGGCGCCTCGCGATGTCGGGCGGGCTCTTTGGCCTGGCAAAGATGCAGATCCTGTGGTCACATCAGATCAGATCAGATATGTATAGTATATATATATATTCTATTACATATATATATATATTACTATGTATATACATTATACTATATATATATATATGTATATAGATACACATATATATGTATATATATGTATGTACGTAATTGTGAACATACTATTGTGTCATGATGTGTCATGTGTCTCATTATACACCTCAGGACCTCAAGTTGATCTCCGGGCACGAGTCCCAGCCTGCAAACGCAGTGCAAAGTCGTACAAGGCACTTCCCAACTGCGAACTCGACAGGGCGGCACGACGCAACAAGCCTCAGGAAGTTTAATGTGGCCTTAAGCCCCAAAAAAAGGGATGGATATTGATGGTAGAATGTAGGTCCAAAAAAAAAACTCCCATGATGGTCAAGTTTTTCAACCATCACACTAAGGCACTGACTATGGAAGTATGTTGAAAGGTTCTCGATTCACACTTGCAAGCTTAACCGTCCAAGATTTCTGTTGGCCCATTCAAGCAACAAAAGCATCTAATCCATGCCAGACATTCTCAAGAAATGATATGGTTACTTCTTGACTACTGCATTCTCCATTACCCATTACACATTTCTAAACAGGCTGGCACCTTGAGCCTTCACCCCTTGAGCCTTACCCCCTTTCTGTCCAAGCATGAAAGGATATGAAAGGCCCCCAACCATCCTCATGATTCCTTCTGTTTGTTTGTGAAATCGGGTTATAAATATGTATAAATCAAGTTACACATATTTACACATTCTTTTTTGGGAGTCCTTTTAAAAAAAGGCGGGTTGGTTCTTTTCATCTGCCAAGGCGCTGAAAAGAATTTCACGTGTGGCACCAGGTGGCACCTGCTCCCGAAGTGCATCGATACTTCGCAACATCGCCATCTCCTGAGATCGCTCTATACCTGGGCTGAGACGCGATGTAGGTTTGGTCCCAGACTGGTACCATGTATATACATAATATATATATTATTATTATTATTATTATTATTATTATTATATGTACATGTATAAATTAATATAATATAATATAATATAATATAATATAATATATATATATATATTATAAATTATTATAATATATATGTATATATATTATAGAATATTACAAACATATTCCAGGTTAACCTGGTGAAAAAAGTTGAACATCTGTCATAAATGAAATTTGAGGTGTCCTGTGTCTCGCTTCTCGTGTCTCCTTGTGCATGGCGCGACAGTGCTAGATTTGCTGTAGACAAGCTACCGGCATAGATCTCAGCAAATCTTCCTGTCTCCTGTTCCAACTGCTCTGTCAACTGACAAACACACGCAGCTTTCTCACTCGAGGCAATATCATGCAGTTCTCTTTCTCTTGTTCTTCATCTCAATTCAGGAATGGTAAGGTACATGTACAGTAGCAAGCCTCGCGCTCATTCTCACTCTGGGTATATCTGGGTATGTGGGTATGTGCATAGTTGCTGACCGTAAAAAAAAATCTGAAAAACTGAAAAACAGTGCCAACATGTCCCGTTTCATCCTGTCCATGTGTTGACAAAATCGCTACCATTCTAATGCAATTCTTGAAAGGAAGTGGTGACTCAACACTACTGAATTCATCAACTCTCAAAACATCTCCTGATAGCTTCAACCTCGGATATCCCAACAAACGTGATGCCAAAGCTGGAAACCTGACGTGTTACGCCCAGTCTCCTTGAATCTTTGTGTGGACTGTGCCTTAGCAGGCCGTGGAACGTCCTGAACCGGTTCAGTTCGTCCTGTTCGTCCCGTTCGTCAGCCGGCGACGGCGATGTATCGATAGCCAAGTTGCGGCGTCCTGACGGACGTTACTGAAGATATCCCTGGCTCCCTGCCACGGTGCGGACTCGTGGCATATGGCAGGAACTGTAAATTGGCAGATGTGGACAGTGCATTCATCGACTGTGCTGAAACGTGCTCAAAGGCGGATATAGTACCGGGTACCGTACCCGCCGTAACCAAAATCGCCTGGAAGAAAAAGTTCGGCATCACAAAACCGCCGGAAGAAGCCAAGGCGTTCCCACCCTCTAGGTCCACACCACGCAAATTGTCAACGAAGATGGACCTGGCGGTGGAAGGCTGGGTAAAGGCATGAACCACCCAAAAAATGGTTAAAGGCCGGGTATTGGTGAAAAAAAATAATTAAAATCTCCAAAATGGTAGGTCATATCGGGTGATTGAATATATTACTATATTGAATGGGTGGAAAGTAAAAAGATGTTCGTGAAAATGCATCATGCTTGTCATTTGGCAGTGTGTCAAAACCTTGTACCCCTGGTGAACATCAAAATAGCTGGTAAATGGATGTTCATCCCACTAAAAATGTATCTATATAGGTATTGACCCATACCCATTTAGATGTTCCAAAATCCTCTAAAATCGAGGATGTGTTTCACCATCAACGAGCAAAGAAAACGGCCGTCCCTGCCGAGCCCACTGGGTTTCCCTGCAGCACTGCGGCAATCGTTGAAATCGTCCCGAAGACGCCCACGAGAATACCCAGACCAAAGCTGTCCACCCCCACCTGGGCTGTTGGTGAATGGGAAAAAAAAGAGTCCAGAAATCGTGACTGAAATCACTGAAATGATAGTGGAATTCATGGAAATTCAACCCACAGCTACAAGATTTACCATCAGCATGGGTTGAACTGGACACAGCTCACCCGAGGGAGTTTGTTTCTTGGAACCTGCTATCAATCTGACAGCTTATGCACCACGATACGATTGAACCGCAAATCTCAGTTCTCCCTTGTTTCGAGATGGTTTCTCATGGTTTCTCATGGTTTCTCACTAGATCGATCCACTAGCCACTAGCCGTGATGGTTGAACACTGTCACTTGGAAGACCGCATTCTAGAGGAGAATAAGATGGCCAAAGGTCTAATTCTGGCTAAAGCGTAAGGAGTCCATAAACGCTTTGTATAGAAACCCTAATGGTTAAAAATATTTAAATATGGTTTACCATAACCTTAACCATAACCGTTTTCTGCAATCATTTTTTTGTGGCATGGAATTTGCTGATTCGTCACGGATCAAGTGTGTAGCCCATGTACATAAATGATGCAAGTGCCCAGCCATTGCCAGTATTGCCTGATAGTACCACGACCGAATTCAACACTGATGAATACTGTATATCTTACTGTGAAACAAACAAAACAACACAAAACAAACTCAAGTTTGGACCTAAAAAACCCAACCGCAATCTATTTTGGATAAGTTGGCTTCGCACAAATAGTCAAGGAACAATCTCGTTGTAAGATGTTGATATTGTAAGACACCAACAAAACTTTGCAGCTATCATCCCAACATCCGAAGGATTTTCCATGCCAAGCAGCAGAATCCAAGTAGGTATCAATAGCCTTGGTTGGGAGGTATTCCCGTACCATCATCCAGTCGTGGATGACCAACCTGCAATCCCCATACAGGGGGCCCTACAAGATAGTATTTTGTTTCACAACTTAATTACATGTGTTATGGTTTGGTTCCAAAATGTTCCAAACCTCCAAACTCCTAGGGTTATGTCAATTAGTATTGGCAATTCTCCAATGTTCCCCAAACATGGATGCAAATGTTTGGCATTTTCACTACGATGCGTTTTCCGTTGCGTGCTGGAATGATTCCTGAGAGATCCTGAAACTAGTATATCAGGCTTAAGGGTTGCTAAGGCTGTACTTGGGGGTGCAGTTGAGGCTATAATTACTATTTATAACCACACTTGTAGGAATAAATTACATCCCAATGGGGATATTACTATAATCATACTGATGAATAACCTCAACTGCATCTCCAAGTAGTGTTTGGATCCCAAGTAGTTTCCAAGGTTCGCTTGGCCAAGCAGCAGATGGAGCGGCGCGAAGGGACCCAAGCCCTTGCGTCTGCTGCGTCCGCCTCACTTGTGACCCCACACCTCAGCGTTTCAGGTCGAACGAGTGGGACCTTCAGTTGCACCGGCGGGGAAGAGGTAAATCATGGCAAATCATGGTAAATAGTGAATAATGCTAATGAAATCATGAAATCATGGTAAGTCATCATGAATCAAATGAAGCATCTCATGTGCACCAGAGGGTAAACCAGTAAATCGGAGAAGATTTCTTCCAGATTCCCTGTGTTGAGCTTGCAGGACCCCTGGCTGTGGGTGTACCAACTCTCCGGGCAACTACTCTCAGATTGACCCAAAAACATCACGAATGACTTACCAGAAATGGGTTGCATAAACCTTTCCCGCTTGTGTCTCTGACAATCGTTTATCAGGTATGTGCATTGAACGAGCGCGATCAAAGTGACGAAGTGGCCCGGAAACTCTATATATATATGTGTGTGTGTTATGTATATATATATATAATAGGTGTGTGTATATATATATATATGTATATACGTGTATATATATATATACACCTTGATCCACAAGACCCTGCTAAAAAGCAGGTTCTGCTAAATAAACTGGTTTTTGATGGAAAAACCAGGTTTTTGCAAATCAGAGTATGTTGCCTTAACAAGCATGAGTCATCATACCGGATTCACATACTCTCCTTTCATCTTTTCTCTCTCAAGCATCTGCAGTGATGCGCATTGAGCGTCTAGCGCCCGAACCCCAGGAGTGAAACCGCTGACTCTGGCTTTCATTTGATAATTTGGGCATCTCTTAAATGGGCATAAGTGGCTAGCAGCGACCTTTGAATTGTTCTTTGACACGCTCGACGGCAGGATACCCTGCGACTAATCCTTGATGGCTTACCGATGTAGTCTTCCTCCATTTGGCACATCCAGATGAGCGGTGATATGCAAAACCCAGCTAACTTCACTTGGTCAACCATCAAAAAGAAAACTTCATGAAGTCGATGAAGATTGGGCATGAATGGAAAAAGCGGTCGTCCCATTTGAAAAGCCTGGTAGGCAATGCGTCCATTGAGCTTCAGGAACTTAAATCCATGAGCAGAGATTTCCAACGCTTTGGAACCATGAATCCAGATTCCTTCCTTGAAGAGCTTGGAAAAGAAGCTATCGATTTCAACAGCTGCGAGATAACACTTCTGAAGTATTTTCCCTCTAAGACTGTTCTCTCGCTCCTTGCAAAAGTCAATGATGAACTTCAAAAGGCAAGTAGTTGTGGATCCTTTTGACCAGGCACCACTGGGAAACTCAGTAGTTTGCATCCACTTGATTGTCTCCTGGCTAAGCCGTTTGATGTAGGGTCGCTGCTTTTTTTTTGGCACCAGTCAAAGAAAACGTCGTGCAACTGCTCAAACCTTTTCGGCACTGAACTTCCTTCCATCTCCTCAGAAACTAGCACGAGGCACGAGGAAACGAAGACTTTTCCAGCTCCCAAATGGAAACCATGAAACAAGTCCATCCCCATGATCGATGTTGGCATCTCTGGGTCATGAGGTAGTTGAAGAAATATTGGATCTCTGCCAAATGGTGGGCTGACCCCAACTGTACTTCTCCAATTGGGATTCGCCGACTCAAAGTCTTCCCAAGGGTATCCACTTTGGTCAGCCAAACAGTGCATGCATATACCTTTTGATGCCGTTTGACTGGAGGGCCGTTTTGCAACCGACCCAAATGTCCTTGTCAAATGAAAAGTCTTTTGGTGAAAGGGCCAGTCCCCTATCACCGAGATCACGGCGAGCCAAAATTTCTCACCTGTCGCTGACATGCACCCATTAGCAAGGATCTCATTCATGTCGTCCACAAGGGCTTCTGTCATCCTGTCATATGCATCCGTGTCACCTTTCTTTGCATCGTAGTAGCCTTTTGGTAATACTCCTAGAAGCCACCGTGTTGTCCATGTATTTCCAACTATGTTCACATCTTGCTTTGCAAAATCTGTTTTCAGCGTGGCTCTACGATTCTCCACCGCACACCCTTTCCCTAGGCATGAGTGTGCACTCAAGATCATTATAGCATTTTTTTTCTTTGACCTCCCTTCGTCTCCGTGAATAATGATCGCAGCAGTACGTTCCAAAACTATTGAGCCATTCCTAGCTAGATCAAAAACTTGGTGGTTTGGCATGATCCGCTCATACCTTGTCCAAAAAGTTCCCCACTGAGACTTGCAACGGTCATCATCCCGGGCATCCAGCCCACTGAGCGTGCGCCAAAGATTCAAGTTCAACAAGAACCTGAACCACGAACTCAAAAGCACTACTGGGATTTGAACTCCCTTTGAAATTTGGACATCAGTCAAAGGGACAGGAATTGTAAGTCCATATTCTTTTCCAATCTGATGGAAATCCCGTTCAGAGTTCTTGGTCGAACATTGTGCCAAGACATTGATACTAGTTTGAGCTGCAACCGGAACTTCTTCCACCACGGCCCGGGCTGCCCTGATTGTTGATGAACAAGGGGCCTCAGCCGGTCGCTGCTAGCCACTAAATTCCATGACTATATAGTATACATGGGGATCATAGGGGGGTAGCTGATTCAGTGCACATTGTAAATCAAACCTTCCAACTAGTCAGATCTGCAATTTGTAGTGACAGTTCGGACTGACTCTTTTGTCCCCTGTGTGTGCAAGAATCGACAGTCGAGCACGGCAAACTGATCTCTACATTTTTTTGGCTTTGGCAGTTTTGCCAAAAAGAACTTAATTGGTTTCCAGCTAGCATCTAAGGATACTAAACCAAAGGAAACATAAAATCAAAACAGGTGGATCAGGCTGGCTTGTGTTTGAAGCTCCTGTACACCATATATGTCACATACGCTGCAGAGGTGTCATGGCCAACGCTGTCACCACCTTTTCGAATGTTGCGGCACCCAGGTTGACCTTGGCTGGCTTGTTGGGTCTTGGGATTCATGTGAACACCAATGTTGAGAAAAGGGCATCCAGGTGCGGTTAAGTTGAATGATTGCATGCTGCTAGGGTACCATCATATCGATCTATGAGAGCTGCTTCCAACATAGCTGGGCTCCATGGCTCAGGTGACAGGTAAAGTACCACCATTCGTTCCCAACGATCCCTCTCATGTAAGTATCCATATCTCCGGTTCTCCCACCTGATCTTTGGATCGCGGCTGAATCCAAATTTAAAAATCATCGGGGCGAAGCTCTCAAAGAGGGTTTCTACAACTTGCACTGCATGCTTCAAAACCATCCCAGCGGTCGTAACTTTCAAGGGTAGCCAGACGGATATCTGGTCATGTTTTTCAAGTTCATCCAGCAGAGTATTGACAACAGGGTCATCCAAAGTCTCCCGAATGTGTAATTCCCAGGACACCCTTCGTGTCTTGTCACAGGAATTAGGATCAGGAGTCCTGGGCGTCACAGCAACGGTCCTTGATTGTTGCTGCGGAATTGACCATGGGAAAGGACCCTCTTCTACCTTAGCTGAGATCACCCCAAGAAAGTTTTTGAAATTCCCCACCTGCCAGGTGAGGGTTGTTAGATTTTATCGGAGCTGTTCTTCCGCCTCCTCCTCCTCCTCCTCTTCTTCCTCCTCCTCCAGTTTCTCCTCGACCATGTCTGCATCCACTCCCATGTTCACTTCCGCCTTGCCAACTCTTCGCCAACTTCCGCGCGCAGTGGGCACTGCTGGACCTCAACTGCCGGCGTGCGATCGGAGTGGGCACCGCTGGACCTCAACCTGGGACCTTCCGAGCTCAGTGAGGACCTCTGAACCTCAACCTGGGACCTTCCCAGCTCAGTGAGCACCGCTGGACCTCAACCTGGGACCTTCCGAGCTCAGTGAGCACCGCTGGACCTCAACCTGGGACCTTCCGAGCTCAGTGAGCACTGCTGGACCTCAACCTGGGACCTTCCGAGCTCAGTGAGCACCGCTGGACCTCAACGGCCAGATAGAATGCCAGAAGATATGCCAGATAGAACGCCAGATAGAATTTCAGATAGAATGCCAGAAGATATGCCAGATAGAATGCCAGAAGATATGCCAGATAAATGCCAGAAGATATGCCAGATAGAATGCCAGAAGGTATGCCAGATAGAATGTCAGATAGAATGCCAGAAGGTATGCCAGATAAAGTGCCAGAATGTTTGCCAGATAGAACGCTAGAAGATTTGCCAGATAGAATGCCAGATAGAATGTCAGAGGATATGCCAGATAGTGCCAGAAGATATGCCAGAACATATGCCAGGTAGAATGCCAGAAGATATGCCAGATAGAATGCCAGAAGATATGCCAGATAAATGCCAGAAGATATGCCAGATAGAATGCCAGAAGCTATGCCAGATAGAATGTCAGATAGAATGCCAGAAGGTATGTCAGATAAAGTGCCAAAATGTTAGCCAGATAGAATGCCAGAAGATTTGCCAGATAGAATGCCAGATATGCCAGAAGATATGCCGGATAGAATTCCAGAAGGTATGCCAGATAGAATGTCAGATAGAATGCCAGAAGGTATGCCAGGTAGAATGCCAGAAGATATGCCAGATCGAATACCAGAAGATATGTCAGATAGAATGCCAGAAGATTTGCCAGTAACAAAAGGTATAAATGTCTTGGTGGTGATAACTCGAAGTAAAGTAATTGATATTAATGTTTTTAAAGGGTACTATATCAACTACCTAGTCGGTATGTTGACACTAGCCTCCACGATTTCAATTCAGATAAGTTTCAGAACGGTGTGAAGTGAATAAATCTAGTAGTTCTTCCTCTGCGCTTTCCAATGCAAAAACCATGCGATGGCATGGATTGCTGGATCACAAATTGAGCCAAAAGGATCTAAACGGTTGATAGTGGATTCTAAGGTGTAGCAACTTGAGTTTCTTCCACCCATCCAGTACTCTAAGATTCAGTGCCCTGGGTGCCCTGTTTCATGAATGAGGTCCCCACACCATCGGAAACATCTCGAAACCAGCGTCGCAAGCTTGGACCAGCACCTGGCATGGAGCAGGGATTGATGCATGCATGTTTAAAGTCCTCTTAAGTCTAACCTTAAACCCAAGTTTTTTCCAAAGGATTTTCTGCCAACGTGTTCGATGTCAAGTAAGCGAAACTGTTGCTTTTTTTTTTCTGTGGGGCGGCAAAGCTCACATGATGTCAGTTGCATCTAGTCTAGCGTTCACAGATCATGAACCCATCACGGTCAAGAATGGGAAAGCTACATCCCAAAATTGATAGCATCCCCATGACCTATGGCAAACATGTCAAAAGCTGATTGCGGTGACGACACGTCCTCCGCCCACATCCGAAAACAACAGGTTTTGAACCTGTCATCATGACACGGTACTTTGCAAGTCAAAATGACCAGTGCATTTCATTTCTTAGACTTCTTAGCCTTCTTAGCAGGCTTAGAGCCCTTTGGCACATCAGCTGCCTTACGCTTAGGCTCAGGATGCGGCTCCCCAGTCTCTAGGTTAGTTTCAGGCTTGGTCTTCTGGAAGAACTTCTTGCCGCTCCTGTAGTGAAAGTTGAAAATAAATGTGGTGACCCATCAAGCTGTTTGATCGAGACCCCCTGAGGTTGAAACCGAGCTTTGAGCTCAGCAGCCAATGCACGCGAAGACCTGAGAACACTTGGACAGATTTCACGGCACAACATATGGGATCATATGAAGTGACCTAATTTTGTAGAGGGCGAACTGAGCTTGTTCACAACACATGGGGTAATTTTGTTTGCACTTTTCTTTCATCAAAGCCGATCTGGGAATAGAACACCACGCTTGTTTCCTTCATCTTCTTCTCAGCTTGGGCCCACCACCTCAATTAAGGCACATAAAGCTTTTAAGCTCATGAAGGTTGTTGGGTCAGAACTGGGGGCAGAACGTTTTCGATGCCTTTTCATCAAGATGTTCACCGACTGCCCAATGCTCGTTGAGCATCTCATACTGGGCATCCATGTTTCCCAGGTTGTCCTCCAAGCTCTTGATGGGCCTGGGATGGTGAAGTCCAAACATGGGCTATGTATGCTCTGGGCTCAAAGTGTGAACTGCATGCAATTGAGTTGCACTGTTGGATCATCAGAATAGTTGGTCTTCAAATCCCGAATGAGGGTTCTGAGTTTGTTCATCTTACTCAGAAGGCTGTCAATGAAGCGCTTCAAGACAGCTCGTTGCTGCACAGGGGCCGGACAACATGTTTTGATGGAGTTCTGAAACTCTTGTGAAGAAGAAACCAAACGCAATCATTTTCAACATTAAGTTGATGGATCTATATATATATATAGATGCAGCCACTGAAGTGTATAAAGAATGCAGTTGGAAAGTAACCCAATAGCCTCCACTTCAGCTGCAACCCTGTCGGGACCTTTTGCTTCAGCTGAAGCATCGTCTCGACGCTTCTGATCCTCCAACTTCTGGAAGCCTGCCTGGTCCATCTTCGGCATGGCAGAATCATCCACCTGCGTGGCAAATGTGACATGTTGGACTGTGAGGTCTGGTTTCCTGGGTGTCCTGCCTTCTTCTTCTGGCGATGGATTTCTTCCTGCGTCAGGCTCTCAGTGTGTTCTGCAGCCTCTTTGACAATGACCCAGTACTCCAGCACCCCATCATAGCGGTTGCTCCTGCCCAGATGGAGCATTGGATTTCTTTATCAAAATGCAGGATTTTGCAAAATAATTGAAGGTTTAAGATTGCATGGCCAAAGGGAAACCTCGCCTGATATGTGTATCAGGTGACTGCTCGCACACCTTCTTGACACCAGCAATTCGTCCCCTCAGTTAACAATGATTTACAGCTTGGTGCTAGTAATCACTGATGCTGGTTAACGCTTGATATTCAACATGTTCAGGTTTGATTTCAGAAAAATTGAGTTTATGACGGTGTCCATTTCAGCTCCATTCGAAGCTCGCTCTCTGAGAACCAGCCTTCGTTGCGAGTGATCTTCACCTTCAGCTTTTTCTTGATCACTAGCTCCAACTGTGTCAAGAAAAGGTCCTGAGAAAAGTTACCAGTGTGAATGATCCCCCACAAACATTGCTGTACCCAGTACTTTTAAAACTAACTAATCAAGTGGTCATGCAATGGTCCTTGCACCAATTGGTGTCCATCAAAAGCTGTGCCATTTCGTTCTTCTCCTCTGTTCCCTTGTCCCACTGCTCTTTCACCATGGCCGGTACCTGAAGGTCTGACCTTTTTTTTCTTCGGGGCTATCATGCGCCTGATGCGCATCTTGGCTGCGTTCTGCAACAGTTCCTGAAGTAACCAGGGCTGTTGGGTGGCAATGTTGGTATAAAGAAGTGCTTGATGAGTTTAAAATGGGAACAACTTGATTGGGTTGATTGACTATTGTTGGTCGATGTGAATAGATTGATGTCTAGGCACCCTTCTGCTCAGGGGTCGCCGGGCTTTCTTCTTCTTCTGGTTCAAACCAGCACTGCGAGTATCCATGTCGGTACCGGGTTCCACCTGACAAGTAACTTGTTGACTGGGGTGATGCCAAAGACAGGATTACCTTCAAATATCTTCCATTTACATGCCAGAACAGAAATTGTTTAAACACAATTGAGGTCTTTGATGGCTTATGTATGCTTCTCAATCTATGGGCCTCCTTTTCCGGGCAAGTGCCAGCTTCAGTTTCAGCTTTGCCAGGAAGAACTGGTTCAGGGGCAGGCTTCTGAGGTGCCTCAGAAAGCAAAACCACTATTGGTTTTCAGTTTTCCATGTTGTTTAATTCAACTAGTAACAAGGTTGCATCCCAGTGCAGGCTGGTAACTTCTGCAACATTGTCAGTCTCCAAGATCCCCGGCTGTGTTTCACTGTTTGCCTAGGCATGGGAACGAGATGAAATGGGCCGCGCTTTGGTGGCTAACTGCTGGATTCCTCAGCTGATGGCAATCTCGTCATCACGGGCTTGGGCAGCAGCACGTGCTTCCAATTCCTGCATGAAGTTGGCTGTAGGAACCCCCTGGGAAAACCATGTGTTATTCTTCAATTCTTTCTTTTTGATGCTTGTTGGTTTGGAATCTCTGGGATAAGACCACGGTCCTTAATTTCTTCCATGATTAACTTCTCTTGCTCGGCTAGGGCCTGTTCCTCTTCTGTCAGCACGGCATTGTAGCCATCTTTCAAGGTTTCACAACTCCAGCCCGCTGCCGAAGAAGACATGTTCAGGCGTCTACAAAACCTAACTACTTCGCTAGATTCTCAACCTTGAGACTTGCAAACCTAGTCAATCAAGAATGCAATAGAGATCTCAATATTCCTTAGGTTTGCACATCGATCATGCTGGAAAATTCAGCTAGCAATACGTAGCCAGTGCATGGGCAAAGTGTTTTCTTTTCAAGTTTGGTACATGTCCGATCTCCACTATCGAATTTCAGCTGTGAAAACAGCGATCGAGATGCAGAAATTCTTGCCATCTTCTGAATTTTGGCACTCAAAATGGAGGTTGCCAGGTACCCCAAAAAACCAGGTTTTCCTTTACGGGTTTTTACGGGGTTCGCACGGGAAATTATGGTGTTCGCACGGGTTACGCACGGGTTCACCAAAACCAGGTTTTTTGGAATTTACGGGTTTTGTTCGGGTTTTGGTCGGGTTTTTACGGGTTTTGTTCGGGTTTTTACGGTGTTCGCACGGGTTTTGCACGGGTTGCGCCATTCCACCACCACAATTCCAGTTGAAATCTGGAAAAGGCTTGAAAAAAGTGATTCACGATTCAAAACTCCAAACATTCCATTTTGGGGAGTCCGGCAATCATCTCCAAAAGTAAAGCATCTAAATAGATTTTGGCACATGGTGGGCCCAACCTTCGGGAATTCTCAGACTGTGCCCTTTTCTCAAATATCGAAAAGCTGACTCTAGGTCAGCAAATTCAAACAAGTCGGACCCTTTCCCCGAATTTAAATCTTGAAAGGATTCCAAGGCAGGTGGCACTGGATCTGGAACCTCAGGGGTCCCACGCTGCGCAGCTTTCAGGTCATCGATCAAGACCGAAATGGTGGAGGCAAAGTAGTCCGGGTAGATCCTGGGCGGTCAGGGAGATAAGCCCAACTGCAGTTTAAATAAGTGGATGGCATCGATGGTCAGGGTAGAGTTGAAACAACACACGGTGAGCCATTAAGACAATTCTAGGATGTGAGCGTCTCAATTCTTGATTCCAATAGGCTAGCTTGGCTACAATCAAAATGAAAATAATCTTAATTCATTCAAGGTTCTCTGTGTCTTTCAGATGTTTAGTCCCCACATAGCAGTCTTTACCGTCTCGGTTCTTGTACTTCCTACACGTCTCGACCTTTGTATGAACCTTCTTGACCTTGTTGGCTGTTGGGCGAAAATGGTATAACTTCCGGATGGCTGGTGAATTGCTGTATGCATACTGCGGCTTGGCTGTCTCTCCACCAAAAGCACCCATCGACCAGTGCACACGGGATACCTTGGCCGAGTTCCATACAGTTGTAAAACCGGTATGTAACAATTTCAGGGGTGGATGGTGGATCATATTTCTCAACATCATCAGTGGGTGGATGCATGCAACTGAGTTCTGTGCTGCATCAATGCCATGAATATCAATGAGTCGTCCCAAAGCCCATCGAAAGGTAGGGTAGAACTCAAGAATGGAACCACCCGGCTGTTCTAATACAAATACTCCACCAAGAGCCACAGTGAGGATTAGAAGGAGTGAAATCCTGCAGATAGGTGGGTTAGCTTGACATCGCTCATCCATCAAAACTGCAAGCCACAGGTTTCTTGAAGTCATGGTGAAATATATATATATATATATATATAAATATCATATCGATCGATAAAACAGTCTACACACTACTAGTTGTCAACCTCAGTTCAGAATCACCCCGGGTCCTTTCAAGCATCTTATTGGCCTCGCCAACAGAGGCCATGAGCAGATCCCCGGTGCTGCAGCAAGCTGCCCTGGAGGAGGTCCCAACATTCATTTGGGTCCAGCTGGAACACTTGATGCCAAACCAAGATAGGAAGTCGTGGGCCCGACCCTTTAGCAGGAAGATGATGCATAACCTTGGTTGAATTATAAGTTGAAAGACATCCGAGTTTGACAATTCTCACTCATTCCAACCCAACAGGAAATATAAAAGCTCAAAAAAAATGTAAAGGTGTAATTGCTATCCGGCTGCACGAACCCACTTGGGCTATTAACATCCATGTAGTTACTCTTCCGAGGAGGCACCCTGTTGTTTGAGTTGTATTTCAAATCAAATTTGCATCCCTTGAATCCCTGCAAGCGAGCGAAGCAGGTGCAAGCCGCATGGCCAGCGAAGAACTCCAACCAATCGTAGGCCTGCACGCGTGCTGTTACGCTGGCAGTGCCGGGTTTGAGATAGGAACCAGTTTCTCAAGGAATGTTCGATATGAAATCCATTGAATTGAATTCATCTAGCTCTATCTCACAAAGCGGTCCTCATCAATGTTGTAGAGACCTTCAGTCCAAATCACCAGCAGTACAATGAGAACGAACTCCTTGGCCGTTTAACAGAATGGGATTCACTTTGAATTCATGCTCGGGGTAAACCCAAACCTTTTCGCTTGCTTGATGTTACTTTTCAGAAGTCCAAGTGTCCCGGGGTGCACGAAGCTTTTGGAGCTTGAAGACCAAAGAATTGATGTCGACCATGGGTGGAAAATCCCTTCCGGATTACAACCAAGTTTTTTTTGAGCCAGCTATAGCCACATGCTCGGGTGGTGGTTTGAAAAGCCAACAAGACATCGATCTATTCATGGTACATTCTCTTAAGTCACATTTCAAAAAGGGATCAATCGATTGAAATCATGCCAGGACTGCTCTTCTTGTTTCTCTGGCGCACCCGACGAGCATGCGAAATTGCTGGGCGAAGACCACGCCTAGGCGCCATGCTGGCCTGACCTGGGTGCCGGGAGGAGGAGCAAACCACCACCATACAAATTCTGCCACGGGATGGCTGCAAACAACTTGACATCACTGGAATTTATTTTTTGTCCCACGTTTCACTGGCTTCATGATCAGATTGAGAAGCGGTGTTAGAGAACTCAGCTAAGTAGCTCACAGGGCAGCCATGGCCCCATGAATGATGGCCACATGTTCATGCCCGGTCCGCTGCAACAGAAATGGTAATGAACATCATTTGAAACAATGTTGGCATCATGACAAGACTGAACCAAAACTACAGTTTGGGTATCATGCTTTCACTGGACCAGGCCAACTTTCTACGTCGATACGTAGCGTTTCAAGAAAGCTATGGCAGAATCCCATGGCAGGAAGCAGGTTTCAAGTTGTGACCCAAAGATGGCTTGATCAGCCATCTGCTCCCAAACAACTCTCCCGCCTAACCTGGGAGACTCACCAAGTAAGCCCTAGGCCCTCACACCATGTTCTGGTGCAGAACCGCAGCACCAGCCATCTGGTAGGCCTGCTTCCACTCCTCCAGCGACTTCTCAAAAGCTGCAACGTCAGGAGCATCCGACTCGTCCATGTAGTATGCCTGGGCAGGTGAAAATTAACACAAGATTACTGGGAGGTCGATGTTTCAACTGGGACACTAGTATATGAGCCATTGGGCCCATAGTCATTATACCACTAAATTCAACATCACCAACGAATGAATGAAGCTCATAGTATTCACAAGTGTTTTTCCAATCTATTTCATGGTAAGAAATGTTCCACGGACCATGCATGCGCTTTGCTGTCCAGATTCTCTCAATCCATGGTAGCACTTATAATGCGCATGTTTGAAACCCTAGCTTTCATAATTGCTTTGGGTAATCTATGTGAGCACCCACCAAGTGCAGCTAAATTACCAAATGCTCAGCACACGCAATAGCAACTGCGCAAGCTCGAAGGGTCTTCTCAAAGAAGCTGAAGTTGGCCACATCGCCTTCCTTTTCACCATTTTTTCGCATGGTCAAGCCGCATTTGAAGGTAGTCCAGTAGATGTTGAGCCGGAAGAAGTCAAACCTGAGACGGGCTTCTTTGACACATGCCTTCAAAGTGGCCAAGTCTTTGTAGTCGATGTTGTCATTGACCCACGAAGCAATCTCAGCTTGCAAGTCTGGGTGAGCCTCCACATCTACCTCAGACACCTTGATTGACCTGGCTCTCGGCTTCTTGTCTGTCTCTCCTGTCTTCTCAGTCTTTTTCGCATGCTTCTTTTTCTCAGGCTTCTGGCTTTCCTTCGGCTCCTTCTGATTCTTCTGACTCTTCTGGCTCTTCTTCTTCTCCGGCTTCTTGTCTGCACTCTTGGACTTTTTCACTGCTTTTGACTTGGGCGATGGCTTGCTCTTTGCCTTTGCGCTGGCCTTTGGCTGGTCAGGCATGCCACCCTCGCCATCCAAAGCAGTTGAAGCCTTTCTTCTTTTGCTCTGGTTCTGGTCCTTCTCCATTGGTCTTGTCATCTTTCTTCTCCGAAGTTTTGGCCGATGTTTTTCTCTTGTCAGCTTTCTTCTCTTCTCCGGTCTGATTGTTCTTCTGTTTCTTGGTCTTTGCATTCTCCTCTTTCTTCCCAGCACGAAGGGAAAGTTGATCTCGGCGAGTGAAGACCTCATGGACGCAGATATGCACTGATGGCTATCAAGAATCAATGAAAATTTGTGATAAATATCAGCTACCGAAAATTTCCAACTCTGATGATATAGTTCCCATTGGGGTCATGACCCAACTATATAAATAAAAGGCCAAATTCCTGAAGCATGTCTGGAGGACCTTCGGTGGTCCAGCCACTTCAGGCTCGGCATCCGAGGAGGTGTGATCTGGAACTTCGGCTTCATCCCCTTTAGTATCACTGGGAACATGACTGGTAGAATCTTCTTGTGGAACCTCTGATTGAGCATCAATTTCCACCCGTTGTTGGTATTTGGCACGTTTCGTCCCTGGGCTGTCTGACCGCAAGGCCGCATCATCCCATGTGGCACCTTTGGCTGAAGGAGGAGAAACAGGAGGCGCAGCAGCTGCAGCCACAGCTGCCTCAAGGTCCTGTGTCCCCATTGGCATGGTATCGTGCTCATCAGTGGCTCCACCCAAGATAGGATCCGATTGGCCTGTGCTGCTGAGCTGGAAGGAACGCCCTAGTTCATAAGCTTTCTTCAATGGAATCGGTTTGAGGATTTTGGTAGGAGTGATTGTTTTTGGGATGGCATGGCTACAGGTTCCCTTTACTGCATGCACATACACATCAGTGCTGGTATTGCTTTCTTTCAAAGAATTGAGGCGTTCATAGATTCTGCACCTTAGCTATCTTCATCCCAGTGTGATCTGGTTGAGATGTTGGCTTGGATACATTTCTACTATGATAAAGTTTAAGAAATCACGATGTAAAAAATTTGAAACGATGATCACACCTTTTAATGAAATCATTGTTGAAACCCAAGTCAGAGCAGCAAATGCCTCGTCCCAGAGCACGCGTCACTCCAGTATCAGCGCTAGGTGGCGCTGACTTCGAAGCCAATGCTGCTGCCAATTGTTGCCGCTTCTGCTGGATCCTGGGTCAATGAGGCGCCAAGATGTTTGCTGTCACTTTTCTATGGGGGAATATGGGGGAACCTATGGGAAAATAATGTAATCTGATCCCATCCAATCCCCAGGCTTTTCCATGTCCAACTAGCTAGTGCGTAGACCATTCAAAATGAGAAATTACAACGGGTGAAAAGTTTGTAAACCAATTGCGAGATTCTCCCGAAGCTTGGCCTGCCTGAACTCCAAAGCAGTCCAGACAGTTTCCTTCGAGCCAAGGGAGCCAACTCCTTGGCTAACGGTGCATGTCAATTGGCCATGGCAAGCCATGTTCAATCTGGATTGTCGTCATCTATAAGTGATCTTCAGTGATTCCCAAAATTTGCACTATGATTATATGAAAGAGTGGCAAGAATAGCACCCTACGAAAACCTTATCTTGAAATCGATGCAATGATCCGGGCAAGGCAGAACCATCAGATGATTTCGGATCAGCATCGTCAGGAGCAGGAGACACATGGGCTTTCTGCTGGGGGGTAGCCACGCCAACCGGTGCAGGAGGGACTGTAACCAATGGTAGCTGTTCTTGAGTAGGAATTGGGCCTGGAGCCTCATCATCCTCCAAGGGGAAGCAACCCTACATTGGTGTTTTTGGGGAAATTGTTCAGAAAACTAAATGTGACTAATGAAGGTGTTGATTCCCCACCTGCCAGGTGAGGGTTGTTAGATTTAAACAGAGCTGTTCTCGGCCTCCTTCTCCTACTCCTTCTCCTCCGCCTCCTCCTCTTCCTCCTCCAGTTCCTCGACCATGTCTGCATCCACTCCCATGTTCACTTCCGCCTTGCCAACTCTTCGCCAACTTCCGCGCGCGGTGGGCACTGCTGGACCTCAACTGCCGGCGTGCGATCGGAGTGGGCACCGCTGGACCTCAACCTGGGACCTTCCGAGCTCAGTGAGCACCTCTGGACCTCAACCTGGGACCTTCCCAGCTCAGTGAGCACCGCTGGACCTCAACCTGGGACCTTCCGAGCTAGTGAGCACCGCTGGACCTCAACCTGGGACCTTCCGAGCTCAGTGAGCACCGCTGGACCTCAACCTGGGACCTTCCGAGCTCAGTGAGCACCGCTGGACCTCAACGGCCACATAGAATGCCAGAAGATATGCCAGGTAGAACGCCAGATAGAATGTCAGATAGAATGCCAGAAGATTTGCCAAATATAATGCCAGATAGGATGTCAGAAGATATATCAGAAGATATGCCGGATAGAATGCCAGATAGAATGCCAGAAGATTTGCCAGATAGAATGCCAGAAGATATACCAGATAGAGTGCCAGAAGATATGCCAGAACACAGGAATCTATCTATCTATGTATCTATCTTTCTATCTATCTGGGGGTTAACCACCACCCCCAAGGACCAGGCACCTCCCGCTGGGGGGTTAACCACCACCCCCAAGGACCAGGGCTCCTCCCGCCAGGGGGTTGACCACCACCCCCAAGGACAACCTGAGCGGAGCAGTCGCTGATCGGGATGCCAGAAGGTATGCCAGATAGAATGCCAGAAGATATGCCAGATAAAATGCCAGAAGATATGCCAGATAGAATGCCAGAAGGTCTGCCAAATAAAGTGCCAGAATGTTTGCCACATAGAATGCCAGAAGATTTGCCAGATAGAATGCCAGATAGGATGTCAGAAGATATGCCAGAAGATATGCCAGAAAGTATGCCAGAACATACGCCAGAAGATATGCCAGGTAGAATGCCAGAAGATATGCCAGATCGAATACCAGAAGATATGCCAGATAGAATGCCAGAATATTTGCCAGTAACAAAACGTATAAATGTCATGGTGGGAATAACTCGAAGTAATTTGATCTATATTTTAAACCCAGTCCTTGCCCCCAGCATCCTCATCTTCACTGTCAGATTCCAGGGCGTTCTTGCGTTTCTCATTGACTGCGTTCACAACATCCTTCCGCGAGAAGCAGGGTACATATATAAGCCAGCATATCATGTCCAAAGGGTGGCTATTATTAATGAGTTCCTCATAATTATTTTTATTGCCTCCAAACATCAGGTGGTGACCCTAGATTAGAACATAGTATCTTACAATCTTTATAGTTCCTTCATGGCTGGGGCTTGGCAAATTATGCAAATTGAGTTCACAATAATCACCTTAGACCCCACCTGGCCTCAAGCGCTGGGTTGACAATCAAGCAAAGGGATTGAAAGGTAGGATCCTTGGCGCGAGAACATCAACTCCTAGAAACAGTGTTGAACATGTAGCTATATGTTAAAAAGGGTGACATAGAGCTATATAGCAGGGATATTGTCTTGACGAAATGATTATACATGTTGAAAACATGAAAATGTACAGTACATACGATGTAGGCCAAAAGTCCTGGCTCACCTCTTCTCTTTGGACTTTGCGTTTGATAAACGAAACCATGTCCCGAACTCCCCATGCAGCATCGTCAACATCTGCAGCAGTGACAGAGCGACTGTGCATCTTGTACGCTGCAGCGCATGCATCTCGTAACGGGTCAATTTCAGCAATGCGACAACCTTCTCCAATCTGATTCAGAATGAGGATCAAAAGATCCATGTTGACAACGCACTTGGGGTCTTCACATCGGTCCCTTTATCCACATTAACCAAGGGCAAACCAGCACGAATGCGTGCTCGAATGCTCTCAGTATCATCCCAAATTTTGGGGAGGATTTCACAATCCACATATTGGGATGACATGGCTGCCACCCTAAAAGAAACCGGTCCAGCAGCTTTGGCCAAATGGCTGCACACCCGACATCACCCGAAAAATATACAAGGTACATATGGAATCCACAGCTATCATTCACTCTTGGTTTCTGGAAAATGATTCACAATCCTGCCAGGATCTGGGTTGCCAGACATCTTCCAAAGACGCCGCAAAAAGGGGCGCTCTTGAAGCCACACGGGCCCAGCGCTGGGCAAGCCGGGGATTTGCCCATCCCCCATAGATTCAGAGTATTTCCCATGTTGATGGTATGGAATTGTGGATTTTAGGGGTTTCAAAGAATAACCCGGTTTTTTAATAGAATAACCAGTTATTGTCGCATCTCCCCATAAACCTAGGTTATCAGACCTCAACCCGCTTTTTTCTGGTGTTTGGAAGCTGAAGGTATATATATATATATATATCAAGGTTCAAGCCAAACCCGCAGATTGTCGGGTTATGTTTTGGTGGTTCCATGGTGTATGCAGCATGTTCCAACGACCATTCCTTAAGTCAATTTCCACCAAAACCATTCACTATAAGAAATCCGGGCGCGCCAAAGGTGCCTAGGCGTGGATGATACGAATGGACAGTCTGTTTAGCTGGCACAGCTTTAGCTGGAGGTGGCATCTTCAGGATCGACCCCTTAAAAAGAGGTTCACCGCTGTGGTAATTTGCACATGTTGCATATCGGCCCAACATCGTCCAAATAATTCACTGTTGAGATCCGACGTGTGACGCCGTGTCCCCCACTTTGGGTCTGTCTTGTGCCCAAGTTCAAGCTGGGCCCAAGTTGGAGCCAAGTGGCCCGAGTTCGGCGCAAGTTAGGCCCAAGTTGGCTCCCGTTCGGCCCAACTTAGGCCAAGTTTGACCGCAGTCGGCTGCCACGAGCCCGCTTCTTTCCTCTCTGTCCTATTCGCTGGGTCCTCGTCGCACCCATCAATTCACAAAACCTAACCAAACCATACAAAACTGGTATAATTTCCTACCATCCATTACCATCCCCTGCCCACTGTTGTACACTACCGCCAAGCAACTTCCGCACAAGTGGACAGACGGCCTGGTGCTTGCTGACCATTCATCCATTTCAGTACCACTTTCACTACTAATTATTTAGAATGGTTCAAAGCAATGGTGTGGTTCATGATGCTTCCACAGCCATCCTGAACTTTGGAACTGCCGCACGCTCCAAGATCACCAAGATCACTGCTGTGGATTAAATATATAATTACTTATATAGACTGCCCCTTGTAAACTTACGACCCACACGCTCCTTTTCAGACTGCAAGGGCAGTTTCTTTGTACTTGTAGATCCTACTGCTCTGAAACTGCCAAACGCTGCTCACCAATGTGGAGCTGCAAACTCTGAGAGGAATGGGAAATTGTTATTTTGTCAAGGCCAGAATCAAGTGTTGGTCCGTCCAATGTGAAGCTCTTAAGTCTTAAGACCCTTTGGCAATGCCACCGGTTCTAGGCTATGGTTGAAGCAATCGCCAATGTCAAGCTTTGGAGGCTGATTGGGTCTTGGGGACTGGTTAGGTTAGAAGAGTCACTCATTCCAGGCTCCGCTTGAAATCAGAACCAAATCTCAAGCTCCGAAGACTGCTCGGCAGGGCTGACAGCTTCGGCCAACAAACTTCAACTGACGGAATATAAAAGATATGCACACGAGATCAAGGTACGCATCTGTATCCCATGTCTTGAATGTTGCTCATTCCCAGAACTGGATGAAACGAAAAGCTTGGGCCGCTTGGGGAAACCCCAATATATTTGACTGGAGATAACATGCTGTGCGGATGCG